GATCATCAACCTGAGAGGGAATGTAGGCGTACTGCTGTAAGTCCTACAGTTCTTCAAGGGTAGTTTGTCGTGTCAGAATCCACAACATTTGATGAAGTCATTGTACATATGTTTGTGTTAAATAGTTGTGAGTTCCAATTATTGTAATTGTTGGTTAATCTTGTTTGTGTCCGGACATTCCACAACTTACAATCGTCAACCTGTGAAGGGTTGCGGGCGTACTGGTGTAAGTCCTGCAATTCTTCAAAGGAATTCAATCAAGACATGATCGGCGAGGTTGTTTGTACTGTTTGTATATATGTGTGGTGTGTTCTATCAATTGGTGTTTTTTGGATTCATTGTGTTTACTTGTTGTTTTCGTATCTTGTTGTTATTGCGTAATTTTGTTAAAATTTTCGTCGTGATTACTTCTGAAGTTGTTTCGAGTCTTCTACGTCCATGAATGAATTGATTGATGTTAAGGACAGCAGATGGGTCGTATACGCCGGGGAGGCTAGGCTATTGCTGAGAATGAAATGCGCACGGAGATAATTGTTAGCTGCGATCTGACACGCCGGGGAGAAAGAGTGTAGACGACTGAGGCTTGCATGCGTCACCGCTACTAGAACTGAGGCAGAATGAGTGACAAGCGATTTCAATGGTAATTGGTAGTGGGTAATTAAGAGGATGTGCGTAGAGTATCGTGAGGTCCTGCCATGGTCACTTTGCATTCTGCAAGAGTCATTCTAGCAAATGGCGATTGTGTTGCAAGATGTCAAGACGAGGTCTCTGTCTGGACGCGCAGGTCGTCAGCGATGTGTGAGATTGTGCTGTGGGTATGCTTGTGGTGTGTTGGCTTTTCTGTTTGTTTTCCATTTCAGCTCTGTCCGTGTGACCCAGGTTCTCGCAATCGCATCCAAGTCAACGTGCATTGGTCGTGAAGGAAAAAGGGGTTGGATCCCTTTTTTGCCGGGGAGTGTCAATGGAGTTGAAGATTGAACGATCAATTCTTGGTTGCTTGCTGAAAATCAACTTCCTCGATTTTCGCGGAGGCGTCAATACGACAGTCATCGTCTCATCGGTCGCTGTTCAGAAAGAAGACTGAAACATCGTCAGAAGTAACAACGATTTATTATTGTAATATTTGTTTACAGACCTTAGTTTGCTTAGTTCGCTTATTCCTTTTATATGTTGGTGTAACAATACAGAAATATCAAACGGCAGATCGGTGTTTTGGTTTTTGCGTCCGTTATAACTAAGCGTTTCCGAAATCTTCTAAGAACAGCGTGGGCCCGAGCGTAGCGAGAGCTGGGCATTAACGGTTTATGAGACTTTGCTGACAGCAGATCCCGCGTTACTAACCTACTATCAGCTTGGGAGGATTGGACATCATGCAGCGATATGAATGTACCAGTCCATGTGGTCTTCCTAGACTTTGAGAAGGCATTTGACACTGTTCACCATGACATTATCCTATGCAAAATAAGCCAGGCAGGTATAGGTGAGCCACTTCTGTCATGGTTAAAGGGCTACCTAGCTGACAGACAATTTTGCATTAAGGTCAATCGAGTCCGATCATCTTGGCACAGCTCGTCATCAGGAGTGTCGCAGGGTTCTATCCTAGGACCACTGATGTTTTTGATTTTATCAATGATCTACCATGCCGCCTAAGCTGCCCGACTCTTCTATATGCTGACGACGTAAAGATATGGAGGGCGATAAAGTGTCCGGAGGACTCAGATAGGCTGCAAGAAGATCCAAATCTTCTGGAAGACTGGGCGGTGGCCAGTGGCATGACTTCCAACCTGAAAAAATGCAAAGTAGTGAAGTTGCACACCTGTTGACTGCAGAATGCAAATTACACCCTGTGCAATGAAAGCTTGTCCTGCACAACGTCGGAACGCGATTTAGGTCTAGTTCTAAGGGAAAAAATGGACACAAGCGTAAATTACACAGGGGATGTAGCGAGGGCATATGCGGTCATATACTTTACACATAGACAGTTAGGTGCACTCATTCCTGAGCTCTTTCTAAGGTTGTACAAAGCATACGTCAGACCATACCTTGAAGTGCATAATATTATTGCACCCCCACTGCTTAGAAGAGACGCCAACCTATTGGAAAGAGTCCAACGACGGGCAACAAAAGGAGTGGTTGGTCTCCGAAACAAACCATATGATGAAAGGCTAAAGAAATTAGGCCTTTTCACACTTAGCTACCGTCGGCTTAGGGGGAATTTGATTACTGCCTACAAAATAACAAATGACCAGAATCACCCAAACAAAGGTGTTCTGTCAGTGAGTAGGTATAGGCTTCCACGTGGAAATCCCAGAATGATAGCTCACCAGAGGGCAAGGACCCGGGTTCGCTCCCACTTCTTTTCACTGCGGGTTTGCCGTCCCTGGAATTCCTTACCGGCAGATGTAGCTATGGCACCGTCTTTGGACGCCTTTAAGCGAAGGCTGGACAACCATGCAGCGACAAAAGGACTGCATCCAAATGGCCTATCTCCTTAAAATCGTATACACCATTCAGGGGTAGACAATTAAACTCGTCGTTTTACTTCTTTACAATCTCTCCCGTCTCACTCTCCTGACAACTTTAACTAAACTTATTATTATTATCATTATTACCGATACATATTATTCATATTATTCTTCAAATTTAATCAGCTGACTGTTGCTGCATTTTCTTATTTCTTTTTCCGTCCGTTGGTCTGAATAACTTCACTAATTATACCTATTATTATTATCTCTCTTCTCTTGTCGACGGTGCCGGAGGACTAACCGGTGAAAGGATCAACTCCACTCACAGTAGTAACAGTCTTAACACACCTCATACTACAAACCACATAAAATTAATCCCAGCACTACTCCCTTTGAAGTCCACCAAAGCTACGACAGTCGAGTGGCGGGACGAGCTATGTAGAAGTTTACCGAAGATCAGGAACCTATACCTTACAATCAAGAAGCGAGCACAAAGAAATCAAATTGGTTTATGCTAGTTCTTAAAAACGATACTGGATATTGGATTGTTATGCCATGTGAGGTGCACTACAGGTTCACCGTAGCTATGGTAGTGCAGTATCTAAGGTGTAACCACACAGAAACCTATCCAGAATCAAGCTGTGCTGTACCTCTACCAATCAACGAGGAGAAGAAATCTACTGGTTTATACTGCATGGCTAATAGTTCATTGGATAATGAAAGCATCGAAAACGAGAGTTGTTTAAATTAGCGGCAGGTCCTAATTGCACGTTTTGGTATTTAAGTAAGTTGGGTTTGGTCGTTTCGCAACTTGACGTCGTAGTTACCCATAAATAAGGGATAAAAAGTGTATGTGCCATATCAAACGTAAGTATTTTTAAATGAAATGACAAGACAAACAACAGGGGAAAAATCAATCTTACTTTACATTAATATAATGGTGAATTAATTAGTTAGTTTGTTAACTACAGCTCACCGAATACTGTTCCGAATTTCCACGTAATTTCTCTAAGGTCTTTAGAATACCACACAATTGGCATGAGATTTCAGACCAGGTTTGTAGTTCATTCCCAAGATTTGTTATTGGTGGGCGGCTTCAAGCCCATCGTAACCCTCTCATGGCCAATGTCTGAGATTTGGACGATCGTACCAAGCTCTTAGTCCCCGACATATGGGTCACATATTTGAGTCTGGCGCTACCTACTTCAACCTGGGAGACTGGGTAGTAACCCTCCTACGACGAAGTATGACTGTCCAACAGTTACATGAAAAATCTGTCCCGGCAACAGTCTGGAGAAAGCTCGTGGACTAGCCATTTGAGTGCGCAGACGCCATGAAGTAGTCTCAGAAAATGAAAAACAAATATAATCAAACCGGAAATCTATTGAAGAAATGCATTTTCTGCATCTCCTTAAATGCTTGAAGAAGAATGCATATTAAAAAGTACATGGGGTTTCGAAAGTTAACCTTAGGTTCCGTAATAAGCTAACGAATCTACGCGGAGTTTCACAACAGAAAGTTCCCATGCTTCTCGGATTGAAATAGTACTAGGCTGTCCGTTTAGTAGTTTCAACGTATAATGATTCGTGAACTATCACTCGTAGGATTTTGACCAACATCTACAGCCAGTTTAAGGTAGAACATGTAGTAGATATTCAGAGGTAGTCGGCAGGAAGCCTTGAAACTGGGCTACGTGTCTGGTGGCACTCTTCAACAAGGCGTATCTGCAGTCTTGAGTTGACTGTGGCTGCCGAGATTCGGATGCGGGTCACTTAATGCTTCATTCGGTGGTGTTACTAACCATCTAATATCAAAAATTCATAGTGCACCATGATGACTTCATTAGTAACTTCATTAATAGTAGAATTCGGCCTGCACCAAAGTAAGGACTAGATGCATGACTTTAGTTGCTCCCTGGTAAGATGTTATGGTTCGTCAATGAAGTATGTTTGATAAGTCTGAGGAGGCTGCTGCAAGCATTCCGCAACTCGCTTCCTGTATTCTTGTATTCCCATGACTCACAACTGTAGGGTAAAATATGGTTCACTGACCTATTCTAATAGTATTCAAGTCTCACAGTATCCTAATTGTCACTATTTGGAAAATTAGCTAAGCTTGGCACTCTGGAACATGCTTAGAAAACAAGCATATCGATTCTCCTGTAATTCAGCCCTTAGAAAATATGTTTGACGTGATTTTTTCGCCCTCCTTAAGTTGTAAATCCATAGCTTTTCATGACGTAGTAATGACAGGTCTATCTGTGGAATAAAGCCTTACTTCCTACTATTTATGTATACTCACGTATCAGATTATTTCTTCATTTTCTTACAGACTGATCCTCTGACGCACTATTCCTACTGTTGCTGAATACAGACTTGAAAATGTCTTCGGATGATGATCTGTTCCGCAGTTATTCTCCTAAGAAGACTGATGTATTTAACAGTACAGGTGATTTGTTTTCTGAGTCTTACATTGAACCAATCCGAGTAAAGTTTGTGATAAATTTCCACTTATGATGTATTCATCATTTTACAGAGGAAAACGGAAAGAGAAACAACAAGATATAGTCCCTGGTGTTAGTGGATTTATTCCAGACTTTTCATCTTATGAAAGGCATAATTTAATTGTTGAATCGGATGTTAGTCATCCTACTGTTAGTCTTACAGATCAAATGCCAAAACGTAAGTGATTCAATCTTATATTTGAATTAATATTTATAGATAATCAAGAAAATATTACTCAATCTGATCACATTCCAGATTCTGTTGTTGTTGAGCCTAAGGATCACATGATAGGTGGATGTCCACCTGTTGCATTCTGTAGTACCCCTGGTCCCATGAACGGTTTTGCATCAAGTTCGCTTAAAGTTGATGGTACAGTAGCACCAAAAACAGTATCAGGTGATCTATTAAACGCCCTCCAAGTAAGTTGTATGTATTCTTTTTTGTTTTGTGTTTGTGAATAATGAAAATCGTCATTTTTATGTTTGATGATTGTAGCGAGTTTTTTATTTTAAGGAATTCGAAATGCCTATTTTTAATTTGGTCGTATTTCAGATATTCGTTCAGAACGCAATGCTAGTTGACATAGGGCTAGGTTGAAAATGAGTTAGAAGAGGTGAGGGCGCGGGGTCGAATTGGAGTGTGGTATCATACCATTAAGTCTTCGATTTCTGATTTGAACCATCCACGTAAGGTAGTGTATACTGTTAAGGTGGCTGGGATCCTCGGGATTTTAAGAATCAATGGCTAGAGACTATTTGGTAATATGACTGAAATCGTTCTCAGTGGCGCAGATGCATACACTCCAAGATGCACTAAATCCCTGTGGTTTTTCCACGTAACTATTTTTCCCGTGTGTTTCTGCTCACTATAGTTCACTTGAATTTCTGTTCTCTTTGTTTTCATTACCTTTGTGTGCCACCCGAAGTGTGACAACTTGAACTGCTACAGTTTTGTGTAAGTCTCACGTTGAAACGCAATCAGTCAACTGGGATAGTGGACGGACACCACTAGTGTCCATCAGGGATGCCCATTACCCTAATTCTATTAAATTTCATCATAGATGTACTAATGGATTTAACCCCAACAACTGACTTCAGCGACTCGGGGATCGTCTTGTTACCCGGGAATAATCTTGTTGACTTGCAATATAAGGATGATATACTCCTTCGAGGTGAAGACGCTGACAAAATGCAGTCTTCTGAATACCTTGAGCTGCAATCTACAAATGTTTGGCAAGCGATTCGTTCCCGTCAAATAAAAAGTGGTTCTACAGGACTGGACTACATTGACCCGTAGCTTAGAAATAGGGAGTGAAGCGGTAGAGCGCGTTGACCGCTTCACTTATTTGGGAAGTTGCATCAGCCAACGCCAATGGGTTAATCGCTGACGAAATCTCAGCAGAAATACAGAAGGCTCGTTTCGCATATGCCAGTTTACTTCGTCTCTGGCGTAGACGTGATATCCGACTGGCTATCGACCAAAGGACGTGTGTACTGCTCCGCAGTTCGCTCTGTCGTCTTTTATGGCTGTGAGTGAGACATGGCCATTGAGAGCGGAAGAAATGAAAAGGCTAGCTATCTTTAGTCATACGTGTCTGTGTTCCATCTCCCTTGCTAGGTGGTATAGTAGGGTGAGCAATATTGGGGTTAGGCATCAGTCGAGTGCTAAATAGGAAGGGGAAATCAATCGACGAGACTGTGAAATTACATCGACTGAGATGGTTAGGACATGTGTTAGGCATGCCTGGTCTTAACCTTCCTCGGCTGACAGGCAATGTTAGCTGACATAGTCAGGCTGGAAAAGAGCTAGCCAGTGGTGGTCAAACCAAAACGTAACACCAGTCACTGAAATTCACAACAGTTAGTTTAAGCCAGCCGCATAAAAGAATGTAGACTTCCTGACTGGTTTGGGTCCTCGGGACGGTAGAATTCAATATCTAAAGACAATCGGTGATATGACTGAAAATCGTTGTTAATGGCTTGTGCAGATGTATCCACTCCTTGTGACTTATACTTTCCAATGAGACTATATCGTTCTTCGTTGTTACTATTCCTTTTGTCTCATATCGCTGTCTACTGTCTCTATTTTGCATTCCTTCAACTTTCTTCTCTTGCTTTGTGTGCTGCAAAGAGGCAGTGTGGCGACTTGAACTGCTGCACATATGTGCAAAGTTCTATGTTGGAAACAGGCAGTCAACTTGTAAACAACAAGATGAATCACTGTTTCATGAAGGGGCTTGCGTTCTTATGTGGTGTTGTACGTTTTTCTGCACACTAGTTGTCTATGAACCATTGCATAGGTTGTGAAGTAGTTAATGAGTTGCACAAATGCACACATTGTGTTTTCTATTCTGTTGATGTATTCTGACGCATTATATTGCAATTGAGATTATGAAATTAAACGAGGTATTGAAGTTGCTTACAGGTAGGTAGAGAGAAAAGCGTCGGAACACTTGTCCGATTTGTTTGTACTATTATGACTAGATGTTGAACATTACTTAATCTCGTAGGTTGACTAGGTTTTATCGCGTCTACTGTAGTCAGTATAAGAACGATTGATTTTTACAGCTGATATAAAAGTCAAATTTTTGAGTAAATAGAGGAGAGGGTTATATTTTGTAGAAATATATACAGCCTTCATATTTTGGGCATCGAAATTCGGGATATCCATCAATGACGTGCATATTGGTGCGTTCAGTCAAAGCCATTGACATCAGTATGCATTTTTGATGTACGATGAAGTTAGGAAGACAATGAGCTTAGCGCGATTAGTAGGCCATTCAGTTTGGATAACGCACCTACGCCAAAGTCATCCACCTTAGCTACAAATCTTCTCCATGATTTCTGAATGTGTTGTATGACTTACTTTTATGCGGAGTTAAACATCGATCCGTCTGCTTTCCCACCTCTTTATACTCAATAACACATCATTACTAAAATTTATTAAAATATTTGAGAATTCCAGACAAAACGTCTTCTAATTTGTTGAATAGTTCTTTTTCCAGACAGCAGTGTACCCAGTTCTATGAAAAGTTTGGTCGAACTATGAAGAATGGTGGCTTTGTTAGTGTAAGAAACGACGTGTTAGTCTTATTACTAACTAATTACTATTGTCATCATGAAAATACGAAATTGGTACATCATGGGTATCGAATGATGCGCCAGACAAGGGTTGGGATACTACCCGTACTCCGAGACTGAGTCAGATGGTTGTCTTGAAGGACTGTCCCTTCCCATGCCTTTGACTTGAGGTGTGATCCACAAGACAGTGAAGCAGCATCAGGAGCGTGGTAGTAGGATAAAGACTATTCATACTAGTTAGGTTAAAGTCTGTTGGTACATAACGCCTTCTTGTGTAGAATCGAAGAGATAATTCGAATCGTTGGCTTGAGATATTATCGGGTATAGGCAGGCAAAAGTCACAATTAGCAGCGGTAAACATAATTGTAATTTCCTCCTTTCTTCCTTGTGTAAGTCCATACAACCAATCTCCGCTCTTTTATTACTATGAAGAAAAGTTAAAAGAAGCCAGCAACATGGGGTGGCATATTTAGTCACGTAACCAAAGCAAAAAGTAGTTAACGAGCCTCATTTGGATTAACAGAAAGTTGTTGTTTTGTGTTATTTCTCAATTGTTCTGTTGAGTCATGCAAGCGTATTAATGAATGTATCTGGCACTGGAAGAGATTTCATTTATTTCAAAGCTCATTTTAAACATGTGGTGTCGACTATAGGCTTTTTTAGCAAATGAATTCAGTGTGCACAAAAGATGTTTATATAAAATTACAATCAAAAGAAGGGATAATGTAGAATGTTCACTAAGATACAACAGCAGTTGGAGAATCGTTGAACATCTCGGAGTATTGGACAACTACTTCGTCCTTGTTTGTAGCTTTAGAGTACGACTGGTTAGCTGGTTTTGACATAGAACTTTGCAGAGAGGTAGGACAGTCCAAATTGCCACACTCCCAGTCAGATTAGCGATAGAAAAGAACAATGATATGCAGAAATTTAAGGTGAGAAGAACAGAAACATGGAAAAGCATTAGGGATTAGCGGATATGAGAAATCATAAGGAGTGGAATGCATCTGCGCCATCATCGAGAACGATTTCGAGCCATATCACCAATTGTCTCCAGCCTTCATTAGTTCTTAGCATCCGGAGGACCTTAAGTAAGAAGCCTACATCTCTCAACGTGACTATCTGGAACTTACTGTCAAGGCCTCTAAAGGACTAATTCCAAGTTGTGGTTTGACCATCATCAAGAGCTCTTTTCCAACCTGATCCCATATCAGATAATATAGCCCGTCGTCGAGAAAGGCGATGGCTAGGCATGTGTAACACATCTTTCAACTATCTTAATTGATGTAGCTTCACAACTCCGTCGACTGATTTCCCCTTCCTATTTAGCACTCAACTGATGCCTAACTCCAATATTGCTCACCCTATTATGATACGAAACTCGGGGGATAGAGTTCAGATACCCATAATCAAAGACAGCTGGTTAGGAGTTTCATATCTTCTACTTTCAATCAATGATCATGTCTTACAGCCATAAGGGAGGACGGAGCGAACTGCTTCCGTACATTACACACGTCCTGTGATCAATAGGCAGCCGGATATCACGTCTACTAAGCCAGAGATGGTGTAAGTTTGGGAATGTCACATGAACCTTTTGTATCTTTGTTAAGATTTTATTGGCAATCAGCCCGTTGAGGCTGATGCAACTTCCGAAATAAGTGAAATGGTTAGTACTGTCTGCCAGTTCACTCCCTATTTTCATTTAGAGTATGAACTTTTGACCATCTTCTGGACTTTGAAGCCTTGGGTTCCTGATAGTGACTGACTGCAGTATGAAGTTGCTTGGGGTTCTATTGAGAAGTAGTAAGGACCAGTGGAATCCACCAAAATATGAGGTATTAAGGGGAATGTATGCTCACTGATGCCATCAGCTGGCGGTTGCACTATGTATCACAAATTAGCAGGTGTTTTAATTCATTTGTCATTCAATTCTATCGACGTAGCTGAGTAATCAATGGGCTCGCATTGTATCCTGAAGGTCCTAAGTTCTATCTCCAGTTGAGAATTGGGTGGGGTGGGGTATGAGTGCTCTCTGGTGAACAGTCCCAAACACCTGTGAAATAGCTGTCCAATGCTCCCTAGTTCCCAATGATTCTCTCACGGATCCAGTTCGTAATCTAACTTGATAAGAAATAATCACTCGATGTTGATGTCCCACTGGAAATTGTATTATTCTTGCTGATTTCAGTGAATTAGGTGCCTAGTTTAATAGGTCAAGTTAAACTTTGAGCACCACTAACTACCAACGTAGTGCGACCGCATCAATGACCTTGGAACGCTCACTGAGCCATTTAGTGAAACCTGGCAAATAATTTGTCATCACCAAAATTAAATATGCTCGACGAAGTGTTATGCTATTAAATGGGATATCCGACAAGTTTCAGCTTAGCTTTGGGAAGGTTCAGTTAGGGTTAACTTAATAAAAACGACATTGGGGTTGGTTCGAGTTAGATTGCAGGTAGTTTAGGGATATTTTCACGTTAGGGTTAGAAGAACTAAATAATTACATGCATAGAATGTGGTTAAATTACTCTGTTGATATAAGAATAGAACTTGTGCAGTGTCGTAGGGTGTAATTTCATTGAGTAAAATTTATTTTGATAAAGTCTCACAGTGTGTTATACAGTAATATTTACTGATGACGTTTCAAGCAGAATTTATTGCTCTGTTGATACTTCAACCTGAAACTGAGATCTATCACATGTGAGAGGTAGGTATCTTCTGTAACACTTCTACAGTTTTTTATGCATTTTCCCCCATAAATATATGTATTGCATACACAAAAATGCCTCCTTCACGTGATTGGTGCATTCGAGATCATTCGCTGATTGGTAGTTAGTAGTGCTTAAAGTCTGATTTTGCCGTTTAATGTGAATCACAGAAAATGTGTTCAAAAACTATTAGAGGTAGTAGTTGTGTTGTTGATGTTTTAATAAAGACTGTTGTAATCTTACTAAATAAAATGACTAATTAACTCTTATTGTATTTTATATTGCATTAAATAGAATGTAGCTTTGTTTGTTCTGAGTGATTTTTTTAAGGTGGTAAATTTATGTGTTTTTATAAAATGTGTGATTTTAGGTGACACCGATTCATCCGGTTTTTACGAATGAGAATAAATCGCCAGCCTGTGAAATGGAGAAGACTTTATCACACTTGGATTATCATCTGAAGGACACACCATTACAACACAATAGTAATAATAATGATAACCATAATAATGCAACACATTACTCACTTTCATTACCTAACCGTGAAGTGGTAAGTAGTATAGAGCATTCATTTTGGGTCGACTTTTTTATAACCCTTTTTCATTGTCAATATTTTAAGTATGACAACAAAGTGAGCAAAGAAATATGTATTCCTTTCAGATTATTACCCCTCATCATCACCTGGCTCTACATTACTAATAAATGTATAGTTTTTTACATGAAAATTGTTTTTATCAATCATGTGGTTTCTTTTAGTCCATTCAGCTTTAGGTATTGGCGGGTGAAATTAAGGGGTTAATGAAAGTCATCAAAACAATTAACTAATAGATATTAGTGAACATTATATCCAAGTTTTGAAGGGGTGGGAAGAGGTGAAGATTAATTAATTACGGAATTCAAGATATGTTAATTCGTAGGGGTTAGCTTAGCAAGAAATTATTACATAATCAAGAAATTTGTAAAATAGTCATGATGACTCGGAAGAGTTACGTAAACTACAAACAAGTTAATGGGATTAGCTAGAATTGTAAAAAATAACAAGGTTGAAATATGGTTACAAGAGAAGAAAATAATAATCTGCTTTATTTCAAAAAGAGTACTTATAATACAGAATGGAATTCTTAGCATTTGTCACAATATTGCATCTGATTTACTCAAAATATAAGTAAAATTAACCAGAGGAATTTGTTGACATTTACGATATAAAGTCAAAAATATTCGAGACACGAATTGAGAATATTAAATGTAATAATAACAGTGGGTTTGTTTGGAAATTTTAGCATGTTATAGAATATTGAATCTATTGTTCTGTTGATATAGCAGCATGGTGAGGGAAATATAAAATTAACACTTATAACACAGCTTAAGTGATGTTCACACTTATGAAAAAATAAACAAATAAGAGCAAAAACTTGAGAGGATTATAAATATAAGAAGAACAATAACAAAAAAGATTGATGTTGTAAGGGTGGAGAAAAATGGTTTGTTTAATAGTGCAAAGAACGTTAGTTAGTTAATTCATGCCTGACACTATTTTCATCACATAAAGTACGTGCCCCGAAATATAGTATATTATGATTTTTATACTTAGACGTACGTGCATAAAGTCTTTTGAGAAATGACTTCTTGTTTGACCTGAGGAGACACTAAGTTGGAGCTGGGGGTGTAAAGTGAATGGATCATTTGAGCAAAGCAAGAACAACAGTGTGTGGTTTGTGCAGAATAAGAAGATGATACCATCATTTATTTATTTCGTTGGCTTCTCATCAGCTCAGCTGCTTACAGCCTAAATAAACTATGAGGTTTATGTACACATAAAAGTTTTAACATACTTGAAAAATTTTTTTTCATGATGTCAGTCGACAGAAGGTTCCACAATTAGTCAGTAAACAGTGCTCAAAAAGGGGCTGTACAAATCTCGCTTGAACACACAGATTTTGCTTGTTCAGATGAATTCCGGCTGCCTTTGCTGGTATGTAAACGTGGCACTTGTAGGCCATGCGAGAGATTGGGTTATATATGCCAAAAACGGCATATGTCAGTAACCTTTATTGGCTTTATTAGCAACTCGATGTACAGATATAAGCGAAATACGTCTGCTACACATTACATATATATACATATGTATATATATGTAATCACAATTTGCAACTATCTTCGATATTGTGTGACTTTAACCTTGTATATTGGTGCTCCTGTGTCTTCCATGTTTCTCATGTTGTGTGTTTCACAGGCGTCGTTCATTCCTTCACACTTCAGCATTAAATCCATCTTTCCGCTTTTCAGTATCCCTGCGGATGATATACATATTTTTATATGTCTGTATACTACTACTTATAAATCTTGTCAGTAGGCCAATGCCACAGTTTTAATTTTTGTATTGTACTCATTTATTTATTTGTTTATTCATGTTTGCTTATTTGTCAATGAAGGTTGTTCGACTCACTGCACTCGATTTCTCCAATCTCCCTCCTCAGCTGTCACAGCATAGTCCTTCAGATGAACACAGACAAAACTGTCAACAACAAGAATGTCAATTTCAATCCCCAGGATTGAGTAGATCTATTGGGGCTGGGAAAAAGTCGAGTACATACACAAAACGATTAACTCGACACTTTCGTCATGAAAATATGATATTAAATCGTTCATACATGGTGAGTTGTTATTTTTTGTTCAAAATTGTTTTTCAATTATTTTTTTTTCAAGTGCTAGTTTATTGTAAGGATTTGAATTGTTTTCAGTTTAACCATGGAATGACATCGGTTACGGAGAGAGAGAGAGAGTTGGTTAGTTGGTTAGCACATTTCCGGAGATCCCTCACTATTGCTGATCTTTTCTGGCCGGCCATCTGATTCTGAGTATTGAGCAAAGACAACTGTTAATGAAGGTCTGTAGTTTGTTTGAGATGCTCTTTATGACGCACTGGCCAAGTCCCTGATCCGTATAGTAGCACTGACTTCACATTGGAGTTGAAAATCCGGATCTTATTTTTGATGTTGAGTGCTGTTGACCTCCACACAAACTTGACGTGAGTAATGAAAGCTTGTCTTGGTTTCCCGATCCTTCCTTTGATATCCTTGTCAGTCCCGTCTGCCTGTGGTCGAAACGATGCTTCCCAGGTCTGTAGGTAGGTAAAGGAGGTTGTTTCTTTCAGGTCCCTCCCATTTATGCTGGCTGATTGCTGTCTGTTGTTGTTGGTGTTGCTGTTGGCCAGGAATCTTCATCACCTACCTCTGTTTTATCTATGTTCACTTGAAGTCCTATCTTTGATGCTTCTTCTGCCAGCTTGTTGCTTTTCACTTGCATATCTTCCAGTTTGTGGGAAATCAGACATATGTATCACATTGGCGAAGTCCAGATCCTCCAAGTTATCTTATGTGTGAGTCCATTTTATGCCTGTTTCCTCATTGCCCGCCGCTGTCTGTCGCATTATCCAATCTATTGCAATCAGGAAGATCATTGGTGATAGTAGACAGCCTTGTCTCACTCCCGTCCTCACATCGAAGGATTCCGTAAGTTTCCCGTTGTGGATTACTTGGCATGCAGCATTATCGTATAACTGTTGGATGAGATGTATAATTGTCGATGGGACCCCGTAGTAGCAAAGTAGTTGTCAAATTACCTTTCGATCGACGCTGTCGAAGGCCTTTCAAAGTCGATGAAGTTGAGATAGTGAGGTGACTGTCATTCCAAGCTTTGTTCAGTGATGATCCGTAGTGTGGCGATTTGGTCAATACATGACTTGTTCCTCCTGAATCCAGCTTGTTCTGGTCGAAGTTTTTCATCCAGGTTGGCTTGTTTGATTCTCTCCAGGATGATGCGACTTAGTATCTTGCTTGGAATGGACAGAAGCATAATTCCACGCTAGTTTTTGCATTGACTTAAGTCTCCTTTCTTCGGTAGTTTGAATAAGTATCCGTTCTTCCGATCCTCGCGTACTTTGCCCTCTTTCCACACCTTCTCCAGTAGTAGTGTCATCAAGTTCGCTGTTGTCTCTGGGTCCATTTTCAATGCTTCTGCTGGAGTCCATCTGGTCCTGCTGTTTCTCCAGCTTTTAGCATCTTGATTGCATTCAGGACTTCTGATTTCGTCGTGGGGTCGATGTATATGCCGAGGGAAATAGCTATGGATCGAATACATCGTTGGGAAGGCTGTCGGGTGACATCATGAGCCAGACAAACCCTCGACTGGAATCCAAATGGTGAACGATGAGTTCGGTCTGGTTCTAACGGTGACATGATGAAGGAGATCGTGTAAGAGGAAGGGATGGAAGCTTGGGGGCAATTGTGGGGTGAACTGGAGAGAACAGGCCAAAGTGGAGATGCTCTGTTGAAGCCGTATGTTCCCCCAGGGGATCTCGAGGGAATAATAATAACAACAGAAGGATATCATTATGGATAAGATTTTATTTTGATAAGATCGCACAGTGTTATACAGTAGTATTAACTGATGACCACGTTTCGAGCACAAACTATTACTGCTCATAATCATATCAACTCATATGACAAAGCTGCCCATTGAAGAAATTACTTTAGGAATTCAGTTATGCCTCACATCTACTATCTTTAAATTCCAGGGTAAAATATATAGACAAACAGAAGGTGTAGCACTGGCATGGATCACCAATGTCCCCTATTGTAGCAGACATATTTATGGACAGCTGGTAGGGAAAATATTACTCTTAATAGAACACTTAATCTTACTCCAAAAATATGGAGATATGTGGATGACACTTTCACAGTGTTGAAAACAGAACATATCTCTCTCTAGCTTCTTGACACACAAACTCACTAGTAGAGGGAACGAAATTCATATTTGAATCGCAAAATGAACAAGGAGAATTAGTTGTGGTGTTAGATTGTAAAATAAAACGAATACAAGAAGGCAAACTACACACTAGTGTTTATAAAAAGCCAATGCATTCTAATAGATATTTAGACTTTAATTCATCTCATCCTTTAACTGTTAAGGCAGGCTTAGTTAAATGTTTAACAAACCGAGCAGTGGCAGTAAGTAGCACAAAAAAGACCTAAATGATGAAATAAAACAGATAGAAGAAGCGTTGGTGTTGAATAACTATCCTATAAAATTCATTAGGAAGATCAGTAAAGGCCAAAAACAAAATAAAAATAATTGTGAAACCAGTAATGATAACATAAATAAGAGAGAATGTAAGGCATCTACAGTAGATTCACCATCTAAGGAGGGGACATCTGAGACGTAGGATTCTTAATAAAGCAGGAACTAGAGTGGTAGCATTCAAACCTACAAACTCACTCAGCGAGAGGACAAGCTCTGTAGGCTAAAAGACCCAATGAGTTGACCTAATTAAACAAAATAATATAATTTACAAAATACCTTGCAATGACTGTGAGTTAGGTCGACTATATAGGTCAGACTAATAGATCGGGGGTAATCAGATTAACGGAACATAAGAATTTAGCTAAAGTAAGAATGATTGACCCCAAGAAGATAAGTAGTGGTTTCGAAAAGAGCTCAGCAATTGCACTGCATGCATTAACACAACCACACAATAGGGTGGAAGAGGGTTAAGATTCTAAGAAGTGCTCTATGTAGGTAGAGAGCGAGAGAGGTTGATTACTGAATCCTGTTTGTTTCAGCAAGTCTACACACCCAGCGCATGCAATAGGAATGACTCAATGCGAAAACCCGAGATATGTATGGAAGATATTATTACAACCAGTCATTCAAATCAGAAGAGGATAATAAATGATCTTAAAATTCTGTTTCAATTCACGTACATCACAACGTTCTAACAAGTTACTTATTATGACTATACAAAACACTCGTCTTATTTTTCATCTGATTGTAATTGATGAATAACGCTCATATTATTATTTCTGAATGTACATTGTCCTATTTAGATTTTTATTCAAATATCTAGTCAATTCCACACATGTATATAAATGAAGTAAAAAGTTGTATGAGTGACTTGATATGATTATGAGTGGCAGTAGTATGTGCTCGAAATGTGATGATCAGTAAATATTACTTTACAACACTGTTCGACTTATCAAAATCACATCTTATCCATAAAGGAGTTATGCTGTAACACAGTGCCGAAGTTTTATACTTATATCAAGAAGGATATCATCTTATTTTTTGGTTATCGTCAGCTGCATGCAACTTGATATTATGCAATACACACTTGTTAGTCATACCTTTCTGGCTTATTCTTCGTATAGTGGGTTACGTAACACTGGTGGTCTCAATCTCCTTACTATAAATAATTAATGTATGTAAATATTTTGTGTGTATAGATACCACTATCAGTGTTTAAAGTTGTATGCAGGTGTTCACAAGATCTGACCAAATAAGGGGTGATATCCAACTATTCTCAGTGTGTTTGGTTTAGAGGGCTTTGGTCGGCTTCTTCAAGTTCAGTTGTGAAGTGATATCGGTTAGAGAGGGACATTAAAAAAAGCACAAGCAGGGAGGAATATTGGATATCTGTTTCGTCCTAGTTTGCAACTCTTCATCAGTGGTACCCTTCCGTGATTCCATCGATGACTGTGTCAACCCAGGTCTTATGGCTTGGTAAGCAAGCCTATTTGTCACATGAACATCGGCTCCTCCAACTGAAGTCATTCCGAGATCTTTTACCTGTTGTTCTGTATTTTGTTCAAGTTTATCAATAAGAAATACTTGTTTAGTCAGTCAGTCAATAATGAGTGGTTTTCATTCAATCTCATTAAAACTATTTATATTTATTTTAAATGTTTGTATAGGAATTATTTGGAGCCGGGGATGCCAAAGGAGCCTTGCTAAAGATTTGTGGACAAACTGATTACAAAACATTTACTCAGCTTTTTGTTCCTGCGTAAGTTACACTTTTTTCTGAAAAAAAATTTTGTTTGAAGTAGTAGTAGTAGTTGTTGTTATTCGTTCTTTGAGTTCTCTGTTAGGCAAAGAGGGCACCTCTTTTCTTTTTCATTTCTTTGCTATTGTTTTTTTAACTGGTGGTGAGTGCTACTTATAATCAGATATAAGTAGTATATCAGTAAGGGAATTCAGAAAAGTAACAATATGTTTTGGCGCAGTGGAAACACTGTACAGAATCTAACAAGCTATTGAATGTGGTGGGTGATATTCGACAAATTTGCGAACGATGTGCAAATAAAGCATTGGCGATATGGTATACTAAATTTATGCACCCCTGCAATGAGTTTACCCTTTGAGCCTCATCGGTCTTTCCTCCCTTACAACTACTATTCGTATAATATCCCCTATGTCATCCTCAGGTGCTCAGTTGGTCGCTACAATCGACTTTTATTACGTACAGAATATTATTTGAGCTTTAGTTTCTTGTCTCGTGATAGATTTTGGGAATGAGAAAAGACAAGAGACTTAGTAACGGACTTACCTATTGAGGAAAAATGCATCACAATTTTACATTTTTAGCCATATATATGATCGGCTAGGTCAATGGGCAATAAACTGTTTTGATTGGTTGCTAATTCTCTGAAGGTGAAACCTCGGGATGATTTCCTGACTACAACGTAAGCTGAATCTAGATGTAAGAAGTAGACGCTTCTATTTCTGCAGCCACTGAGTTGAAATGTTGTTTTCGATATATGCGTCACTGATAAATCTTGTCAGTAGCACACGCTTGTATCATGTTGTTCACAGTGCAGTAGTAAGTGGTGTACCACTATGGCGTGTGCTACTCAGAAGATTTATCAGTAGTATGTACAGATATAAGGAGATGATCATTCGCATTAAGCATCAGTTAGCAGGGAGATAGATTGAAAGTCAAAGAAAGTAAATGATGATGAATAATACAACGTTGCTTGCGGAGATACATGGGGGAGACGTGAAAGAAACACAGAGAAATGCAGCAGACACAACACGGAAAGGTGATTCGAAGATAAGGTGTACATAATTCCCCCTCTATAGAGATACCGAATTCCCTAATAAATATTCCTTTACCAAGTGTCTTGTCTTCTACCGTTACAGTATCTCTGTGTATTTACACCTGATACAAGACACTGAACAGGTTTATTCTGGGTTTTGTGTAGAGTTGCTGTATTAATTAGTTCAGGCATTATTTTATTGAACGTTTGATCAATTGACTGAGGATGAGTGGGTGGTTGGTTGGAGTGAGTACCTCTCTTCATCTGCAACCATCTGAATTTATTGATCAACCGTTTATCGAATTCTTTATAAGTTTCATTTCGAAATTTACTTAACTTTATCATATTTTATAAAATTTATTTCCTACACGAAAATCTGTTTAATTCTTTGTTATTTCTCATTTAAATCCTTTTAAGTGTGTGATAAATAAATATCTGTTTTGTTGTTGTTGTTTTTGTTTGCTGGAAATTTGATAGTCGACGGAAAAGTTTGAAAAAAATCGGTGAAGGATGTTTTGGTGAAGTATTTCGATGTCCGGCTGAAGATTGTCGATCAAAGCATGTTGTCATGAAGTTTATCCCAATAGAAGGAGATGTCAAATTTAATGGTGAACCACAGAAGAGTTTTGATGAAGTTCTTTCTGAAGTAATTGTATCTAAGTACGTGTTTTTTTTCAAAAAATTTAAATTATTTATCTACATTTTGGTGTGAAGAGCTCTCATAGTGGGGTGGATTGATTCTGTGCAAGTTAGTGGAAGGGGGAGGATAGTAAGTCCCCCAGCGGGGAGCGTTTTCATCACACCCTGCACTCTGAATACTACTCACCACAAGCTTGCGTTTCCTACTCAGATTATTTCGTGCGCGTCAACCTCGGAAGCTCAAATCGTCGCTTCTCGTTTGGGTTCCGTTCGAGTGCCCTGGATTGTGACAGATATCATTTAACAAATCTGTGATCTACAGACCACAATGACAAAGATATAAAGGTTTTATTCATCAACAAAGAGAGAAATTCATGTGGACAAAAGGTCAACTTTTTCAGGTCAACAAAATAGTTAATCGGTACCCAGTACAATGTCGACTAATTGTTTTTGAGGAAATTTCCAGAAGCCACCAATCATCGATGATTTCATTGTGTTCCCAGGAGGGATAACTGGTATAAACTCGTAGAGAATCAAATCAGAAAGCTCACCTCAAATTGAAGTATTTGCTCTGAAGTGTGTGTGCGTGTGTGCGTGCGTGATTTCGTCCAAAGGGGCAATAAAAGCTTCGCAAATTAAACCATCCAGTTCCAAAAAAGGCAACTATGACAATAAATTCTTGGCTGGTTCTTGACGACTGTAGCGCAATTCTGTTGTAGCTTAAGGTGTTGACATACGGAATTAGTGTATTTATTTCAAATACTTGTTTAAATTCATGTTTATTTTGTTAAGATATTGATTGACCCAACAAGTTTTTAGGTGATATGTGTGTGTGTCGGTAGCTATTTTTAATGGTAGAACGCTCGTGAACTATGCACATGTCCCGGGTTCGAATCCTGGCCAACGTATTCCTGAATCTTGCCTAGTTTACTAGTCGTTAGTAAGCCCGGTGGTAAAGAGGTAAATCTTCCGTCGCTTTACAGAACTTATTATAAGTTGGATAAGGTTAAGCAGTAGTGGATTGGTCGGGAGTCGAAACCGGGTCACGTGTGTGGTTGGCATGAGGATTCTGCCACTAAAATACTTACAGATGTACTGGTCACCGGCTCATCAGGTGGGATTTATTTAGCCTTTATGTTACCATATGGTAAAATGTTGTCGTCCGCGTACTCACAGTTGAATAGTCTCAGACCAGATAGAACATTTATGTATATATATATATATATATATATATACATAGCACCGACCATCGCCACATTCCAGACTATTTGATTGAAACCGGGCTAGTTTAAAGTGTCTCAGATAAGTTACTAGGCTTCCAACTTTTGGTGAATGCAAGCTCTGTCTTCATGTCTCTCCTGCACACGCCTTACGAGAATCAATCGTCATGGTCGCTGTGTATATAGAGATACCTTAATCAGATTGTATTGGCTATTCATTGAAATTGACTTATGGCGGTAGACTAGTGGCTTCTGACCTATTTTTGTAATCCGATAATTGTGGGTTCCATCCAGTGCTAAAGGATCCTAAAGTAGAACTGAGCACCTCTTCAGTACCGCTCGCTAATTAATGGTTTTACCAACTGATGTCGGTTCGTGACCAAATTATTAGTTTACAGCAATTTCAAGTCGTGTAGTAATAATAATCATGTTAATTGTAGTACTTTTCCGTCCACGCCATTTTTAAGTGAAATTTGTCAAGGTATATGATTTCTTTGATTACTTGAATAGCCTAAGCTCGTAATAACAACTTAGTACGGCCGGCCAAGGGTGGGCAGACTCTGGTCTTTTCTCAAGATGTGGGCACGCCTTTATAGTCCCTGTCTGCCAAGACGTATTTACTTCCTTCACGTTATAGGGGTGTTCTTCACAGTCAGGAGCCTACAACCGACCTGGTGGACATCCAAGTCTGTTACGAGGGTGACTGAGTCTTAGAACGATGAGTGATGCTTGAATCTTGAAAAGACGAACGAACCAAGAATTTAGGCTTTATTCATTTTACAATGAAGCCGGAATGGCTTAAACGTATAAAGGGGAAAAAGAGTGTTAATAGCGGTAATGATATGAATATGATTAGATACGTATTATAGGAAAAGTTCACAACAAAGTCTACCTAAAGAAACTGGAAAACCTTGATTCTAAACCTATGGTGTACATAGGTGTACACGAATCTGATGGGATCGAATGGGTTATGGTCGTGTTTTAGCCACCAAGAACCATGGAAACACAGCTTCTGAGGCTACTCCACAGCCTTGTGGATCAGGCTTCAAGTCACGGACTCGGCAGTGGTCCTCTTCAGCTTCGGTCTGGATGACTGTCCAACTGTTATTGCAGCCTTCGCACAGGCTATGCGATTTAATGTGCCTCCCTTCTGTGGTGCCTATAAAGTACTAAATCTGTTGTATATTGTAGTGCATAAGAACAGATATAACTGTCGAAGAGGCAAGATCAGAAACTGTCATTTGTTCAGATCGGAAAAGATCCTGAACACCTACCTAGCAGCACTGCTGCTAGAAAACTAATCGCTCCTTCAGGCTATACTATGCTGTACGGTAACCGACTTGAAGATATCAGAAAAAACATATTGTCAATTTGAGGATTGTTTATTTATTTCTCTACTGACAATGAACCAGGACTACAGGGTGGTGGTGACTACATCACACAAAATCTATGAGTAAAGCAGCATCAGCATGAATCACAATGATAAATTCTGATCGTTTTTTCTCCAGTTTTCTGTGACACAGTCTACGATTAGATCACTATCGGCATTATGTTGACTCCCGCTAAAATCGAGATCCTTTCGTTCAGGATCCTCGCCTACCATGCACATGGTCCGGGGTTCGAGCCCACGCCGACGCACACCCGATATCTATAGTCGGCCTGCGAATTTTGGGCTACCGATATCCACGCTGAAAATTCCATACTTGTACCAAAAATACGGTGTGGAATCAAGCTGTAAATTAAAAATCAAAATAACTTTCGCTAACATTTTTATTATTGTTATTATTATTCACATCAACTATTTTACATTACTAAGTATCTTAGCATATATGATGTGTTTATTATTATTATGTTTTTGTTATTTTAGAGAATTAACAGCCCTTGGTATGGGTTTCTCAAATTGTACTTCTGGTTTTGTAGAGTTGATAAGGTGAGGGTTCACCTTTTGATTTTACTATTCACAGCTTGAATGATGTAGAGTATTATTATTATTAGTTCATACGTTTATGCCCTTGTATGAATTTTGAATAAAGCAAGAACAACAGTTAAATAAGCAGAATAGAATAGTTTCATCACTTATTTTGCTGGCGTCTCTCTCATGTTCATTCTAACTGTATATTGAAAAAAAAATTTAAACGTACCTGCGGGAGCCCGGAGCGTCGGCGGTATAGTGGTAAGGACGTTCGCCGACCACGCCTCACGTGGTCCGGAGTTCGATCCCTGGGCAGCGACGCACTCCTTTACCTCGCTGGTAAAGTGGTTAAGGTTGGGCATGAGGTGGCTAGCAACCCAATACTGTAAAAAATAAACACTTCTACCGAAACTTCAAGCCTCTAGCTTGAAGCCGTCGCTATGTTCCACTTGGAATGTGAAGGAATAATAAAAAATCTGCAGGAGCACTTACATTATCGAGAGAATCGAAAGAAGAGGGGGACACCTCCGAATCTGTGAACGTATACGAAAAAGCTTGCGTCTTAAGGGAAAAGACGTTTACAGTGGTGTCCCTGTCAGACATCTCCTTGTGATACGGATCCAAAGGTGGGCATCATGAAGTCCTTCGAAATTATAAACAGACAAAATAGTTCACTTCTCCTGGAGTTTGCTAAGGCAATCTCTGTCAAACGCCTGAGACACCTTGATTTATGTGTTCAGCAAGAAGCAGTTACTAGTCTTTCTTTGCTCACCTGTTAACTGGATGTCTTTGTTTTCTTATTTGATTACAGGATCTTTGACTTTTACCTCACTACCCTTTGATGATTTGATGTGACTTTGCTTGTCTTTTGTTTCTACGAATTGAGTTGAACTAAGTACATTGTTACTCAATTTGTTAATTACTCATCATTCTACTCACCCCTATTTTTTTTTATCACGCAACTCTTTTCGTCATTGTGTGCGCATACATTGATTTTTGTTTAGACTTGAACTCTCTATGTAAGAGCTATATAAGTGTAATTTACTGAGCACTGCTCAATGAAGTTTGGAGCCTTCTGTCGCATCGACATGATGTAAAATTGGCGAGCTGTACACAGCTGATGAGAAGCGAACGAAATAAGCGATGATAGTACACTATCATCTTATCCTGCACAAACCACTGTTATTCTTGCTTTATTTAAATTATACTGGTAACTATTATACTAAAGGTTCGTCTACCTGGTTATTTTCGAAAAGTTCATATTTTGTGGTGTGTGTGTGTATAAAAAAAACGAGCGAAATGCTGTATGAAGACACATACCACTAGAGGTGGTGTGGTGAGAGCAGGCTGCTAGCTGATTGGTTGGCACTAATCTACGTTAAGGTCTAGGTCACTAATATGGGCCGTGAGAAAATATGAACAAGGCTGAGTCAACAACCAAATCACAGCAAAGTTAACGTGGCAAAATATGATTCGCAGATAGAGAACTCTATTTGTCAAGGAATCCCGAAACAACCAATCAGAAGCCTGCGTTTGTCTACCTAAAAACAACCAATCAGATGACTGCGCTTGTCTATAATAATGTAGTTGAAATATGTATAAATACGTGTTGATTTTCATAATAAAAGGATCTGTTGCCTGACCCTTGTCTTCTGTTGTTACCGTGGTAGTAGTATGAACAGTTAGATTAGCGTCAAGTCAGACGTTTCACTCGCCTTGTTCTTTACTCATCAGTAGTATTCTCTTAACTTTACCGATTTCAAATTCGTGCCTAGTGGGGTACAGCAAGTCGGGTTTGAAGACAAATACTCGCCACGGATGGCATTGATTGGTGTCAGTCACGTTAAATTGTAAATTAGCCATTGGATCCGAGTCCCCACTGGCTTAATGGTCTACGTGGTCGCCTTGTTACCGGAAAGTCCTGGCCTCAGAGGTTGACGCGTACTTCTGAAGATTCATGGATAATCCCTGTCCAGGCATTAATGTAAACAAAACACGTAGATCAGCGAAGAGTCTCTTTTCGGCGGCGAATTCATTCATGCTTAGCTGTACAATCGCAAATATATATACGTGTGTGTTATTTTGTATGTATGTGTGTACATTAAGTTTGTCAAACGAATATTTACAATTGGTTATGGTTATTTTAACTAAACAGATGAAGATTGGTAATACAAGTCAAGAAAATTAAGTGTTAATCAAACTAGGGTAGTAACAAAGGTGATGAGTTGTCACAAACAGTTGTTAAAAGAAGTTATGTAATAATAACATGAATAGTTTGATGAGTGAGTTTTACTCTGGATGCACATAGAAACAAAGTAGATAATACGAAATTATGTAAGAGATCTAAGTGAATACAACAAACGCCTTTTGCTTCATAGTAATCTACAGAGTTCAGAATAACCTATCAAAGGCAATACGGTTTCGTCTGCTTTGTATCACTGAAGCTCTGGCCATTCACATAGTAAAACCGGAGCTGTGCATACAAAAAAAGATTACTCAACCACTTCTACTCTCATGGTAACATTGTTTTGATTTGTTTTGAGTTTTTATTCTTTTTGATGACTTAATTTTGTTTCCTTGCCTGTTCTTTAATTGCTTATAATTCTTGTATTCATTTAGAACTCTTACATAATTCCGTATTATCTACTTTGTTTCTATGTGCATCCAGAGTAAAACTCACTCATCAAACTATTCATGTTATTATTACATAACTTCTTTTAACAACTGTTTGTGACAACTCATCACCTTTGTTACTACCCTAGTTTGATTAACACTTAATTTTCTTGACTTGTATTACCAATCTTCACCTGTTTAGTTAAAATAACCTTAACCAATTGTAATTTTGTTTGACAAACTCAATGTACACATACATACAAAATAACCCATATGTATATAATTGCGATTGTACAGCTAAGAAAATGAATTCGCCGCCGAAAAGAGACTCTTCGCTGGTCTACGTGTTTCGTTTTTATTAATACTTCTGAGGAGTCATAAACTATGACGAAACGAATGACTGTCCAGTTCACACAATCATTTTACCAGTGGTTCCCTTACCTATGTCAGTTCATGATGAGATCCTGTAAACAAATTTTAAAGCCATACAATTTGGAATCATTTCAACTACTCATATTGTTAACTGTTGGTGCATCTCGTTTATTCAACACTTCTTAAAGCTTCATGATAAAGTTGTATGTGTACTCGCTAACGTTGAAGTCTCTCTGAGAGTGTTGTTCATGCATTCTACTTGCTCTTGCTGTAACACCAAATTGCACAAGATACCACCACAATATTTTGATTATGTAATTTAGTGTCTCCTGTTTTCGAATTATGAGCTTTTTTGAAGGGATATTTGTATTAATTTCAAAATAGTTTTCGTCACAATTACACAGATCAGGGAATACTGGACAGCTGTTTCTTCCTACATTAAAACTCCTCAGCGGTGATCACTTATAACGCTACCAACGATCGAATTCCGGACCTTTTGGTTACTAGGATAAGCTCGTTGACTATTGCCGATGAGCGTTCACTTCGCCCTGACATGATTGAATCCACTGTCTGCGACGTCTCATTACAGCTACAGGACACCTATCCAGGCTAAGCTTCACTCGTCAGTTGAAAATCCAGGGTTTGATCGTTGCTTGGATCGTGGGTGAGCACTGTCGAGGAGTTCCGAAGTAGAACGAAACAGCTGCCCATTGTATGCTGGTTTTCAATGACCTTGGACTGGTGTGTTCCATTGTGACGAAATCTAAATTGACGTTAAATAATAACAGCTCAAGTTACGTTACTCTCCAAACTTTGATTTATATTGGTAAGTATCTTTGTAGACAGTAGGCGTGTATATTCACTGACTGACCAACTGGTATGAATATGGAACTTTATACAGAAGTGCTACAGTTCGAGTTCCCACCCTCCCTCCTTGTAACACACAAAGAAAGAGAAAAAAGTCAAGGTAGGTTCAAAAAAGAGTTAATAAACAGAAGTGTGAGGGAAAAAGTATAGTAGTAATATGCGAGAACGATACAACTTTACTAAATAAAGAGTGAATGTATCTGCGCAAGCCACTGACAACGATGTCGAGTCGTACCACTAAATTTTCTCCAATTATCATTGGGTCTTAGAATCCCAAGGATCCTAACCAGAAAGTCTACACCTCGCTACGTGGTTGGCTGGTCGACTTTAACTAACTAACTAACTGTTATTCGCTCGTATCAGTTAATTGTCATTCTACTCAACCTGTGGGGGCATCACTCGGTCAGTGGATCGAGGTATATTGTAAAGCAGTGGCTGCCTGTGGTCAGGTACTTCTTCAAAAGTTAATGCCAATACAACCTAGAAAGGGGAAGGCTAGAAATGTAATTCCGACCGCCGGAAGTTGTATCGACTGCGCTTGGAAGTTAACTATGACAACCACTGCACCACGATGGATGGATTCTGTTTCAAAATTGACTAGGTGTATTAACCATCTAACACGTTAACTGTTGTTGTTGTTGTTGTTTTTTGTCTTAGTCAAATAAACAAGCGTTCTTTTACCTATTTTATCCTTTCAGAGTTCACCTTCTCCGAGGGGCATTCCCTTTATATTTGAGGAAATCGTGGGAGGAGTACGATAGAGTGAAAGGTTCTGAAAATGATCATCCAAGTATGAAAAAGATGCATATTTGTGTAATTTTGTTTTTAAAAAGTGTATACTCATTATTTACTCATTAACATGATTAGTTTGTTCAGCGTAGTATTATCATTATTATTATTTCCCAAGGTTCCACACCACACCCACTTTGTGGTGTTCTCTACCCCCCTTTTTAGCTGACTCCTCCTCACACGATCTCCTCCATATTACTCTCAGTCATCCTATCCATCTCTTTCCATTCGACTTCCAGTGACAGTGACTGGTGGTGATAGTTCTCCCACCGAGACTTGAACCCAACACGCTCATCGTTTCCAACAAAAAGGCGTTATCCCTTAGATCACTCTGGTCATTTTTTGTGTTCTCTCTGGTGGTGGTGGGTCGCGTTAGGGCGTCAAGCTGTGAAGTTTTCAGTAGCGCTATGGTGTTATTGTTGTTGGTTTGTTTTTTACAGAATAGGGGCAATAACTTCACGTCCAACCTTGTCTGTACGTCGGTAGAGCATCAAGCTCGAACCTCTTGTGGTTAGCCCAGTTTTCAGCCGGTAAAATGCAATCATACAATCATTCCCCTATTTATCAATTGGAAGAAATCACAAAAAACAATGTGCGTCGGTGGCACATTTGGTTAGGACTCTCGCTGACCATGCACATGGTGGTCCCGGTTTGGATCCCTCGCCGATGCACATCTGATATCTATGGTCGGCCATACCTGTACCAAAAAAGAATACGGTGTTGAATCAAGCTGTAACCAAAAATAATAAGAAAAAGATATTGTAGTTTTCCTTGTCTCTTGTTTGTATAATTTGAATTGAATTCAGTGTATTGTTACTCATCATTTATGAGTTACTCATCATCTTACGGCTTCTCTCGTCCTTATTTATTACGTGACGCTTTTGCCGTTGTGTATGCAAACATTTACTTTCTTTAAACTACTTGAACTCTCGGTGGATGGTGGCTAGCAGTGGAATCCAGGATGCGCATTTCGTCCTATTTGGGACTCGTCAGCTGGATGTACCTGCTTTTCTCAGTGAGTGATGACGTTCCCACTGAGGCTCGAACCCAGTGACCATAGTTTCAAACGCCAAAGCGTTATCCACTAGACCACCTGGGCCACGAGAGCCACCTCTTGTGCAACGGGTCATATTAATTATTGAATTGAATTTTTGATTTTCCCGTCGATTGATTGGACCGAAGTGCTCGATCTCAGGTTGACATGTCGGCTTCTTGTGCAGATGCTTCGACGATGTCTGGGCATTTGATTAGTATACAATTGGTGGGTGGTGGCTAGCAGTGGAATCCAGGATGCGCATTTCGTCCTATTTGGGACTCGTCAGCGCATCCTGGATTCCACTGCTAGCCACCATCCACCAATTGTATACTAATCAAATGTTGATGTGGTTTTGTTCTCTGAGCTGGATAGTTAGTTTGCGAAGCTTTCATCACCTTACTGGGTGACATCTTCAGCGCATACTTCAAATTGAAGTGAGCTTTTAGGTTTCTCCACGAGTTTATTAATCATTCCTCCTGGTGACCTTGGACGTGATTGGTTGTTTATGTATGTTTTCACACCTTCTAGGTTACTTGTGTTGGAACTGATTGTTTCTGTGACTTGAACTTTGGCCAATCGTGTGTGAAGTTTCTTTCTTATTGGTTGATAAATTTTGTCTATCTCGATGTGTCTATTGATTGATGATTCACTGGAATGCCAAGCTTCTAAAAATTCTCTAGCATTCTTGTTATTTCCTTTGTCTAATATTTGAACGTTGTCCCAGTCGAATTGATGTCCGTGGTTGTCTGTGTGTAGTGAAATGAGGGAGTGGATATCATGTCTTTTGACGGCTAGCTTATGTTCGTGGATACGAAGACGAAGGGGACGTCCACTTTGGCCAATGTAGTGTTTTTCACAGTTGTTACAGTTTATTTTGTAGATGATGTTGGTTTTGTCTTCTTTTGCTGTTGAGTCTTTTGGTTGACATAGAATTGAGTGCAGCGACTTTGTTGGTTTGTGTACGACGTCAATTCCTAAAGGTTTGAAGAGTCTTTTAGTGATTTCTGAGATATCCTTTACATATGGTAAGGCGATTTTCTTTGTGTTTTCCTTGGTGGCTTTTGTTTTGGTAGGTTGGCTTGGGGGTATATGTCTCTTGATGAAATTCCGGGGATATCCATTCTTTTGGAAGACGTCCATGAGATACTTTTCTTCAATTTTTCTTAAGGTGGGAGTGCTGCAGTGAGTCCTTGCTCTCTTGAATAGTGTTTGTATGCAGTTCCTTTTGTGTGCTATTGGGTTGTTGCTGTTGTAATTCAGTATTTGGTCTGTGTGAGTTGATTTCCTATAAACTTGAGTTTCTAATTCTCCTGTAGTTGTTCGCCTGACTAAGACGTCCAAAAATGGTATTTTGTTCTCGGATTACTCTTCTCTTGTGAATTTGATGTCGTTGAAGACGTTGTTTATTATTATTATATTATTATTGTATCCTTTAGTTCCTAGAGGAACATAGGGCTTCAGCTGCGCACCTCCATTGACTTCGGTTTTCTGACAACTTTTTCACCCTGCTCCAGGTCTGCCCACATGCTTTCATCTCCTCTTCACATGACCTCCTCCAAGTCACCCTTGGACGACCAACTCGCCGCCTCCCTTTCGGGTTCCACTCGAGGGCTTGTCTAGTGATGTCACTTGATGGTTTCCTCAGCGTATGGCCAATCCATCTCCATTTCTTTCTGCCTATTTGTTTCACAATCGGTTCCTGATTGGTTCGCTCCCAGAGATCCCTGTTGCTGATCTTTTCTGGCCATCTGATCTTGAGTATTGAGCGAAGACAGTTGTTAATGAAGGTTTGAAGTTTGTTTGAGATGCTCTTTATGACTCGCCAAGTCTCTGATCCGTATAGTAGCACTGACTTCACATTGGAGTTGAAAATCCGGATCTTATTTTTGATGGTGAGTGCTGTTGACCTCCACACAGATTTGAGAGTAATGAAAGCTTGTCTTGCTTTTCCGATTCTGGCTTTGATGTCCTCGTCAGTTCCGCCTGTAGTTGAAACGATGCTTCCCAGGTAGGTGAAGGAGGTTGTTTCTTTCAGGTTCTTCCCATTTATGCTTATTGTGGTCTGTTGTTGCCGTTGATGTTGGCAAGGAATCTTCATCACCTCTGTTTTATCTATGTTCACGTGAAGTCGTGAGTTTTGTCTAATTCGTTTCTTTTGATTATTACAAATGTGTCGTCGACGTAGCGTATCCAAATCTTGGGTTTGATCTTTGGTAGAATTATGTTTTCGAGTCTTTGCATCACTGCTTCTGCAATCAAACCTGATATTGGCGATCCCATGGGTGTTCCTTTGACTTGTTCATATATTTGGCCATTGAATTGGAAGTATGTTGTTAGGCATAGATTTATGCATTCCATCCAGCTTGTGTGTTGCATTTTTGATTGTTGTGGAAGTTGTTCGTCGTTGCTAAGTAATTGCTCCATGGTTTCTTTTGCTAGTTTTTGTCCGATAGAGGTATATAATGCTGTCACGTCGAAGGATACCATTATTTCTTGTTCATCTATTTGGATGTCTCTGATTTTCTCTAGGAATTGGATAGCAGAGTTGATGGAGTGATCACAGGATTCCGTTAGGTGTTTTAGTTTTCTGTATAATTCCTTGGACAAATTATATGTTGGAGTTCCTGGGAGTGATACAATTGGTCGTAACGGGATATTTGCCTTGTGTATTTTGGGCCTGCCGTAGAATCGAGGTAGGACTGGTCCATTGGATTTCATTCGCCATTGGTCTTGTTTTGTGATCTGTCCAGTTTTGCTGAGCTTGTTTAAGGTCCTTTGGATGCGGTTGTCCAATGTTTGTATGGGATTTGTTGGGAGTTGTTGATATACATCTTCATCTTTGAGTAGTTCTTCAGCTTTCTTGGTGTATTCTTCTCTGTCCATGACTACTGTTGTTCTTCCTTTGTCGGCTGGTAAAATGACGATGTCCTTCCTATTTTTCAGCTTTTTGAGGGCCTTTTAGTTCTTGAGAGTTGAGTTGTGTGTGTTGTCTTTTCTGTTTGACCATTGGTACAATTGTTTGGCGTATCTCTTCCTGTGTTTCCTCGTTCAAGTTTGATGATTTGAGTAATGATTCAAGGGCAGCGAAGAAAACAGAAACAATCAGTTCCAACACAAGTAACCTAGAAGGTGTGAAAACATACATAAACAACCAATCACGTCCAAGGTCACCAGGAGGAATGATTAATAAACTCGTGGAGAAACCTAAAAGCTCACTTCAATTTGAAGTATGCGCTGAAGATGTCACCCAGTAAGGTGATGAAAGCTTCGCAAACTAACTATCCAGCTCAGAGAACAAAACCACATCAAAATTATCCACCTGAGCTACAAATCTTCTCTATCATAACTAATCAAATGCCCAGACATCGTCGAAGCATCTGCACAAGAAGCCGACATGTCAACCTGAGATCGAGCACTTCGGTCCAATCAATCGACGGGAAAATCAAAAATTCAATTCAATACTTGAACTCTCTGTGTGTAAATATGTCAATATTTGATGGTTTCTGTACACAATCTTAATAATGTCTTTTGACTGTAACCGGCTGAGCTGTGATGAGAAGCCAACGAAATTAAAAAGAAATTCAAGATGGTGGTATACCATCATCATCATTATCTTCTTTACTGCACAAACTGCCACTGTTGTTCTCACGCGTTATTCGAATTCTACTTATCGAAACAAAATGTGTGATGAATACATTTTAGAAGCTTATTAATTCACTTTTAATATATGTGCTGCATTTCACTTTTTTAATAATAGTAATTTTTTAAATTCTTGCTTCCTATTTCATCACTTCAGAAATCTTTCCCAAAGACCAGTTATGGGTGGTTTTAGAGTCGGCATTTTGTGGTGTACCGCTTGAGAATAATATTGTAAGTTTTGTGGTGTGCATAAAGGATTGATTGTCGATTTCAGTATGTGTGTGTGTGTTTCTACTACTTGTTTTCTATCTATTGTCTCCGATTCCATTGGGATGTTTATCTGAAGGAAATATTACAGTTACCTCTGAATGGAGAGAACTATGCTGTGCCTATATCTAATTTACTGAAGTATTATACTCTTACTGTAACGGCAGAAGACAAGGGCCAGACAGGCAACAGATCGTTTATTGATGAAATCAACAGATATTTATGGATTTTTATGTACATCATTATAATTAGCGTTGCCGTTAGCAGAGAAGCAGCGTCTTCTGATTGGTTGTTTTCTTGCTGAATGAAGGTTATTCTGTTACCTCTTTGTGGCCGTTTCCCAGACAGTCCGTTGATATATATCTGCGAATCGTATCCACCCATGCAAAGTCTGCTGTGATTGTTTGTCGAATTCCTCAAGATTAGGCTTTGTTATTGTTTTCTTTTCTCATGACCCTGATTTAGGACGTAAAGATTGACGTAAATTGTTGTCTACCAATTTTCCCTGCTAGTAGACAGCTCTCACCACATAGCTGCTTATAAATTATGTATCAACCCTAATAATATGATTGCTGACAAAATATCAGCATAGATACAGAAGCCTCGTATGGCACTTTTCTGACATGAGGTATCTCTAGCGTACACGTGATCTCTGACTAGCGAGTCTCTGACAGCCAGTCTTTTTAAGTGTGTACTGCACAGAAACTCACTGTCTCCTTTATTTGTGGGTGTAAGATATTAGACCATTAGAATTGGAATACCTGAATATTGGGCTAGTTCACCTTGGTCGCAGAAGTTTGTTTTCTTTATTACCCGTGTGTAAAGTGGTATAAAGAAGTGTGAGGAATATTGAGGTTAGGCATAGAGTGTTAGGTGAGGAAGGGAGGTCAGTCTATGTGGTTGTGAAGCGACACATTGATTGAGATAAGCAAGGACATGTGTTGCGCATCCCAAGCCACTGTCCTCCTGGTTGAACAATGATCACTGCCCTAAAATTAGGTTTGGGAGAGTTTGGAGGGGTCAGTTGGTTCTGGGCTGGAGAATCCCACTCCACCTGCTACTGCAGTATGGGTCCCAACAAAATAAGTGTAATTTTTAGCCCAGTACTAGGTGATTGAGATCTAACTTACAATTATGTTCCGAATGTTACTCAATGAATAACTTCCTGTAGTGCTACATACTTTCTCATCAGTTGCCAGCATGTCTAGTATGTATAGAGTTTATACCTCCTCATCATTGAATTTCTCTTCAATCGCTGCACTTTTTGAAGTAAGATTCACTAACATACTCTCGGTGAATCGCTGATGCTCGCTAGTAACAGGTGAACTATACAGGACGAGGTTGTCTGGAGGTCTGGTAAAAAGCGTTACCAGTGGGGACCACCAAGTCGGGAGTGAGGACAAACACTCCTATGGCATTGACTGGCGGTTGCGCTGTGTATACCGATGTTATGTACTCGTCGCCAAATTATTGTTATGTACTGGTCGAGAATTTAATAATCCTGACGCAAGAAAGACGGAAATCAGAAGACCACTAGGTTTGCGATGATACTTCTATTTTCCAAACACAAGGAGAATCAAAGTGTCCCACGAGAGTGTGAGAGCAAAAATATATATGAATGTCCGAACAAGTGTGTGAGCGAATATCCAAAATGAACAAATCAATAGACAGTTTTAACATGATTGGCTAATTACAATGGAATATCGATCCATATATACATAGCAAGATATAACAGACATGTCAAACACACATATTATATATAATATAAGGGGAATATACATTGTTAAAGGAGACAGGTTCATCAAAGTGAAATGGTCACAGACTAAGAGAGCAACAGAAAAAGAGACCACCATACATATATATATATATATATATATTATGGATACATATCAACCGAAAACTGTTAGAAGATAGAATTCATCGACTGACTGGCCATTGAGGTGACTCGTCCTAATGGCTGGATGCTCTACGAGCTTGTTCTGTAGCCGTAAGGTCCTTCATTCAAACTTTGCACTGTGAGTGCGTGCGTGCTGATAAACAGTCCCAAACCAGTACTCCCTGATGGTTTCCAATGCTTCTCTAACCGATATCAACCCGCGGTCGATCCCTACAAACTAACCCTTGAAAATCATTTTCTACTGGTTTGCAGTTTCAACTCATGGAAACACTCCATAAATATCTTCTCGAGGTTTTTGAGGTTTGTGTGTATAATGTATGTTCTGTGGAACGCTGATTTGTGTTCTAGACACCCGACTTCTTCAACCGCTCTGGATTAAGAGTTGAAGTCCCTCTTTCCATTCAACGATGTTGGACAACCGAGAAGTATGTATCCCTAACACTTCCACATTAGATATGTGGCTCACTACCAACTGCATGGAATTGAGTAGTAATTTTCTCACCAAGTGTATAAACGCGCGACAGAAGGAGTTACGTCTGACGATAAAGATTTTTGCAAGTTTAACATGTTTTCCCCCTTCTTTGCTTTTCAAGTGCAACGTATGGCTACAGGCTTTTAGATATGAAGTGTCAATAGCAGTGAGTGCTTTTGACGGGATTTGGTCTGCTTTGATGCTCAAATCGAAGCTGAGATAGTTATCTTAAGGGGACCTATGCCTTCCACCGGCCTTTGACGTGAGAAGTGTCAGAAGCTACACTCCCTTGCTTTCCGGTGACTCAGACAGCTTCACATGTCGTCACCCATAATCCAATCGCCTTCTACAGACACCACATACACTATAGGTTTCGAATGAAGATTTCCAAGTTTCCCCAAGGTGTAGACCTGGATGTCCACCAGTTCGCTTCTAAGCGCCAAAACTTTCGAATTCACCCTTTCAGTTTTGTGAGGAAAATCCCTTCGTCGGAAAGGCGCGTAGTAATAAATACCATTTATCTGACAGAGGCTATGAACGGTTGTCACCATATGATGGGGAGGAGAGTATTTCGAAAGAAAGACCGGAGTCTAGCCATCATCCACCTAGTGGGGTTGTTGGTCGTTCACGCGGTGCCACCATCAGTCAAGCTAAGTTTAGGGTTAATTACTATACATGTATATAAATGCCCAATTCCATTTGTATAATTTTTATTTCTGTTCTTTCTTCTCTATAATAAATAGCCTCCTTGTCCTTGTGCGAGAGTTTCTCTTCTCCTGCAGGTTGGGTTCTCCCTAGCAGTAGCAGAAGAAGAATTAAAGTTCGAGCATAGGGACTTGCATTGGGGGAATATCTTGATCAGTGAAGGTTATGTGCCGCCTGCAAATAAGTCAGCGATGCCTTGTTTATCGTCAACGTCATTATCTTCTTCTTCATCCTCGTCCTTTTCCCGCTCCCTCTCCTCACTGTCGTCTACCTCTTTAAAAGATTGTTGTTGTAAGTATTGTTCTCATTTGGAGAATATAGATGAAGCGGATGACGAATCCGATAAAGAAAATAAAAAAGACGTCGACGACAGAGAGTTAGACCATAATAATAGAAGATATGTGCAGTTTCGTCTGAATAATCAAGTGATCAATGTTCCAAGATGCGGTTCCACAGCATACCTCATAGACTTTACTATGTCTCGTTTAGAACAAGGTAAGCAAGTAGTCGAGTGGGAAATTATTTTGCACACCTTTTGTTTTTTTAAAGTTTCTTTTTTATTCTCATATACTATAACTACTACATGCTAAATGATGCATATACATATACTGGGATTTCGAATCACCGAAAATACCCATTGAATTATGAAGAAAATGAAAGACAAATCCAACGAGGAAAATTTTCTTTATCGACGAAATCATCTTCCGAGACTAGCTGTGTACAATCGTATTTATATTTACCAAAATATATATAGTCTGTTTGTCTGTTTTCGACATAGAACTTTGCACAAATGTGCGGTAGTTCAAGTCGCCACACTCTGTGTAGCACGCGAAGCAAGAGAAGAAAGTACAAGAAAAGTATAATAGAGACAGTGAGCAGACACCGTCGATTGATTTCCCCTGTTTACCTAGAACTCGACGCCGAACTTCAATATTGCTCACCTTATTATGCCACTTTACACGGGAAATAGAGCGCAGGCACCTATGATCAAAGACAGCTAGTCTTTTCATGTCTTCCACTCTCAGTGAGTAATTGAGGGTGGGGGTGACATGATTGATATAATTACTCAGAAGTGGCTTTAGAAGTAAAAAAAATTAAAATTTGTAAATTACGTGGTACTTAACGATAGAATGTTAGAAATTTGATGCAGTAAAAATTTTTATTGAGTGAGAATAAAAGTAGCTGCGATGCTTGGTTTTGAAGGGAATGCCGAGAAAATGCATTGCACTGATCAAAGCGCTCTACTTGAACTCATGCCGTCAGCCAAATGAAGGCTTACAGCGAGTTGTCATCTGAAGTGGTGACGACTAGTGGTGTCCGTCAGGGTCGCCCATTATCCCCATTTCTATTCAATTTCTTCATAGATGTACTAATGGAATTACCCCTAACCCACTTCAGCGACTCAGGGATTGACTTACTAACACTAAGAAATAATCTCGTTGACTTGGAATATGCAGACGATGTAGTCTTTGTAGGCGAGGACACTGACAAAATCCAGCAGAGTCTTCTAATCACCTTGAGCTGCAATCTAGGAATGTTTGATATGCTATTCGCTCCTGCTGTCAGGTGTAAGATGATGTTACAGAACTGGACTACACTCACTCCTAGTTTAGAAATAGAAAGTGAAGTGGTAGAGCATGTTGACCGCTTCACTTATTTGGGAAGTATCATCAGCCAGTGCCAACGGGTTGGTCTCTGACGAAATCGCAGTAAGGATACAGAGGGCTAATTTCGCATATGCCGGTTTACGCCGTCAGTGGCGTAGACGTGATATCCGACTCGCTATCGACCAAAGGGCGGGTGTACTGCTAGTCAGTCCGCTCCGTCTTCCGTGATGGTTTTCAGACGTGGGCATTGAGAGTGGAAGACATGAAAAGCCTGGTTAGCTGTCTTTGATCATAGGTGTCTCCGTTCTATCTCCCGTGTTGTGCTATAATAAAGTGAGCAATATTGGGGTTAGGCATCAGCCGAGTGCTAAATAGGTAGGGGAAATCAATCGACTGAGGTGGTTAGGACATGTGTTACGTATGGCTAGTCATCACCTTCCTCGACTGACGGTCAATGCTAGCTGACATAGGGTCAGACTGGAAAAGCGCTAGCCAGCGGTGGTCAAACCAAAACATGGCTTCACCAGTCAATAAAATCCACAACAGTTGGTTTAAGCCAGCCACGTAAAAGAATGTAGACTTCCTGACTGGTTTGGGTCCTCGGGACAGTAGGAAACCAATATCTGAAGACAATCGGTGATATGACTGAAAATCGTTGTCAATGGCTTGTGCAGATGTATCCACTCCTTGTGACTTATACTTTCCAATGGGACTATATCGTTCTTGTTATTACTATTCTTTTTGCCTCATATCTCTGTCTACTGTCTCTATTTTGCATTCCTTCAACTTTCTTCTCTTGCTTTGTGTGCTGCAAAGAGGCAGTGTGGCGACTTGAACTGCTGCACATATGTGCAAAGTTCTATATCGAAAACAGACAGAAAAGTAGCTGAGTGTCAATTTAACAAGTGTGAGGAGGGTATAAAAATGTACGAAAGGAGTGATAATGGTGAATTAATTATTAAACTGAAAGTAAAATCGAAAAAAAGAAAATAATGAAGAGGTTAAGATCATGGTAGAATAAGAGATTGGACAAACTTTTTTCTGTAAACAGAGTTCGGGATTGTACTGACGAATTCCCAACGCTTCCGCCATACACAAAAGCTGACGGCTGACATCCTTTGTACTATTTGGCTTCACCTTGTAGGTGATCTTGAAAGACTACTGTGGTGGAGCTGCGTGGCCTAAGTTCACCAAATGCTCGAGAATTGAGCTAGGAGTTGTCTTGCATTGTCTTTTTGCTAACCATGGCGGATAATGTTCAGAGATACGCTTGGGAAGTGTGCGCTTTGTGCGGTCAATATAACTAGCTCCACACGATCAGCGGGTGAATTTATAAACACACTTTGAAGTGGCTCGGAGCGCCAGTTTATCCTTCGTGCATCCATTGATCATTTGTTGTCTGTAGAAATTGATTGATCCGTAGGTCATCCGTAGAGAATGCTTTCCTCGATAATCTGCATAAGCGATTCTTCAGGATCTCATCAGCGGTATCACCTTTAAATTCAACACTCATGAATAGCAGTTTCTTGGGAACCGTCTGGGATTTTTCAGGCTTTTGCTTTAACTTCATGGTTTTCTCGATAAATCCTGGAGGATATTCAGTCTCTAAGAGGACTTGTCTGTGAGTCCCTTCATTTCCCCCATTGCTAAATCGACACCCAATTATCACCTTTTTTTTCACTCAATAGCCATTTTAACCTTATCAAATTTCTAACATTTTGCCGTTAAGTACCACGTAATTTAAAACTTTATTTTCATAATTCTCAGCCACTTCTGAGTAATTATATCAATCATGTCACCCCCATCCTATTACTCAATAATAGACCACTATATATATTTTGGTAAATATAAATACGACAGCTAGCCTCGGAAGTGCGTCGGTGGCACAGTGGTTAGGACTCTCGCCAACCATGCACATGGTCCGGGGTTCGAGCTCACGCCGGCGCACACCTGATATCTATGGTCGGCCTGCAAAATTTGGGCTACCGATATCCATGCTGAAAATTCCGTACTTATACCAAAAATACAGTGTGGAATCAAGCTGTAAATCGAAAATAAAAAAGATGATTTCGTCGATAAAGAAAAATTTCTTCGTTGAATTCGTCTTTTATTTTCTTCATACTGGGGTTTGACTGAGCGATTCATAGTTTGCTAGTTAACCGGCTTGAGGCCATGATGCAGTCAGCGACTGCTGTTACGGCAGTGCATCATTGATTGATTGCTCGTTTACTATTCACTCACTCGGTCTGTGGTGGTGAGGGAGATGCGGGGGGTTCGACTTTTGGAAGTCACCGATGCACACTCCTTAACCTTTCTCTCTCACTCACTCCACCGGTAGTACGGATTCCCGATATGGTTGAGAGGGGGGAGTTGAGGAGCGTGGGATGTAATCAGGAGAAAATACCACCACACTTTGTCTTAGCATACATGTTATCAACAAGTTTGGTGTTTTCGTTGACATCACTCAGTGAGCCCTGCTTGAGAATCCCAAGGATTCTAAGTATACTAATGAAGACTGGAGATAATTGGTGGTGATATGCCAGAATGTTGATATGGACGCATTCACTGCTTCTTGTGATTTGTCATATCCTTTTAAACCATCATGTTCTTCCATGTCACTATTCTTTCTCCCACGTGCATTTCTGCTTATTATGGCTCTTTTGAATATCAATTTTTCTATCCGTCTTGTCTTCTTTTGTGTACTACATGGAGTGCTGTGGCAAGCTGACCTGCTGTACTTCTATGCAAAGTTCTATGTTGAAACCAAGTCAATCAGACGCTCCTACATTTATTTATCGAAATTTATTCAATCTATTGCATACATACACACACCTTAAGTCACTTTTGTTGTATGATATATGTTTCCTCTTTAATTGTAGATGGTGGTTTAGTCTATGTTGATTTAAGTAGTGACCCTACTTTGTTTCAATCCCGAGGTGATTATCAATTCGATATATATCGTCATATGAAATCACATAATCGGTAAGTATACACATAAAATGATTTGCTTTTTTGTGTTTTCAAGTATAGACCGCAGTTGTTGTCCCTTATTACTCTTTTTAACAATATACAATAGAAAACGGTCAATAAATATCTAAAGATGGTTACCGGGAGACTCATGAAGAAATTTAAATCATTTCACTTTATCCTAATTACTGCGCTGAAGATGTCGTCCAGAAAGACGATGAAAGCTCCGCAATTAAACCAAGGAGCTCAGAGAACACTATCAATTCCAAATATACACCCCCTCCACACACACACCAACCGAATGTGATTTGATTCTTATGCAGATTTCAGATTTGATCACGATTTGATATCAGTTAGAGAACTGTTGGAAGACCAGTCAGTTGTTGTTTCATCCTAGTTTTAGACTCTTCAGCAATACATTATTACCACTGAGGTCTAACTGAAGAACCTTGAAAAAAGGTCAAACCCTTCAGCCACTGGGACTCGATGCAATCACCTGATTGATGACTTTTACCTAAAAAGGTTCTTTAACTGATGATGTCAGCTAGCTGCTTGTGATTATACTTGTAACCGCTCAAATCCTCCTGCATACACTAACACTTGATTAATCAGTCTGATGGTTATTAGCAACTGACTCTGTGTGCAGGAAAACGTTACCTGGAGTTTTAGTGAGAAGTCGTAACCGATGGGGTCCACCAAGTCAGATAAGAGATCAGTTCGTCACCTTCACCTATGTCATTGGCTGGCTGTTGCGCTATAATATGTATCACGGTTTGGCAGGCGTGTTGGAATTCATGGGCGATTGGATTGGGTAGGTCTCAGTGGTTGGATGGTCTACAAACTCACCTTGTAACCGGTAGATCCTTCCTGGGTTTGAAGGTCGCAGTGTGGGTGCGTACTGATGAGGAGTCCTAAACAAGGGACGCAACGACCGTCTTGTGGGTTTTGAGTGATATGTGAGTCACTCAACAATATGTTGAAGGTGCTACGGTAAATAATACGTGTTTTAGAAGCAGTAAGGCATTTCTTTCAGATGACCGACGAGCTATCAATTGTGTTGGTGCTCATTCTGGGAAAGTGGGTTGATGGTTCATCCTAAAAATTGTATGTCTTCGGCCACCTTGCAAAACAGTCTATGCCATATAGTGAGTTCTTGAAAATCCACTTCAAACAGGTTGTGTGGCCAGCCAGCCGCAAACAGTTTTTTCAGTTCTAATCCTCTGTTTATGTTTCATTTAGTCAGATGGATTACTTGTAATTCGGTTCAAATGACACTGAATTCCGAAATAACGTCTAGGGGACACCAACGAAGTAGTCTAAACATGCCTACGTGCCTCAAATCAGTGATCACAGACTTAAAGCATCGATGCCAAGTTTTGATTTGAAAACAGCTAACTCTTCTCTGATTTTATCCTATGTCAGCTAACGTTGCTCGACGAGAAAGATGATTGTTTGGCTTCTTCGACGAGCAGTGTTAGGTGAGTTAAAATAATCTTGGAGAAGTTCCAGTAAGGGTGTCTGGATTTTAGTCACTACCAATTGTCCAGTCAAAGTACTCACGACAGTCCTAAAGGAGGTCAATCACAAACGTCTATAGCTCTGTGGTAACGCCCGTTAATGCAACACTGAGTGATCGGTGCTTGAGTCTGAAAGGGGATATGAGCTCTTTCGAAATTACAGACACATCTTGATGACGAGTGCCAACGAGGACGAAAACTACGCCCTAGGTACCCTCCTACCATCTGATTACAAAAATTTAGATTGCATCTTGTAATGATAAGTCACCTACCATGATGGCCATATTGCAAGCCTGACTGATCGAATTCAGTCTGCACTAAAAAGTGGAGCGATAGACGAATCACATTAATTACTGCCTCTGTCTGTCTGTTTTCAACATAGAACTTTGCACCGATGTGCAGCAGTTCGAGTCGCCACACTTCATGTAGTAGACAAAGCAAGGGAAGAAAGTAAAAAGAAACACCAAATAGAGACAGTAAACAGAGATATGAGACAAAAGGAATAGTAACATCGAAGAACAATATAGTTATATTGGATATGATAAATCACAAGGAGTGGATGCATCTGTGCCAGCCATTGAGAATGATTTTGAGCCATATCACCAATTATCTCCAGCCTTCGTTAGTTTTTATCGTTCCGAGGACCCCAACCACTCAGGAACTCTATACCTTTCTACGTGACTGGCTGGTTTTAGCTAACTGTTGTGGATTTCACTGATTGATGAAGCCATATTTTAGTTTGACCACCACTATCCCTTTTCCAGCCTGACCCTATGTCAGCTAACATTGCCCGTCGATAAAGGCGATGGTTAGGCGAGACATGCATAACATGTCCTAATCATCTCAGTCCATGTAGCTTCACGGGCTCGTCAATTGATTTCTCCTTCTTACCTGTCACTCGACGCCTAACCTCAGTATTGCTTCCCTACTATACCACTACACACGGCAGATAGAAGGCTACGTAGCAACCCGATCAAAGTGTGCATTGCAGTCCTACATGAGGTCACTCGCGAGTCCGGACAGCTCATTAGAAACACCTCTGATAAAACTGATAGGTGATGCCACTTGCAATCGCAGAACGAATATTTGTTCCTTCAAGTTTACAGATACACGTTACTACCCGGTGAGTGCCATCAAGCACGTAACCTGTGTGTGTAGACAGGGCTTCTTATCGCCAATTACCCATAACCATCTAACATCGAAGTCATTGGTTAAAAATACGTAATCGTAAAGGTTGTTGATATGATCCTCGATGAGGTTCAGTTCTCCCAGCTGTTTCTTTCATTTGTTATCTAACTGATCTGGGTCAGTTAGTGATCTTACTTTGAATCCTTGCAAACTAAAGTTCTAAATTGTCGGGATTGAGGACAAATAGTTGGTAGTAGCGCTAAAATCACGAATCAGTAAAGCTGTTGAAATTCATGAGTCATTTAATTGGGTCTCAGTGTCTGAATGAATGATAAACAAGCATGTCTTGTACCGGAAGGTCCTATGTTCGAACCCCACGCTGCTTACAATGTTCAGCATCCTGTTATAAAATATAAGCGTAAAACTTCCTTCAGTCTTGTTAATGTATATAAAATAATAATTAAATCGAATATTCTATCCGTTTGTTTAAATGCATTGCTACTATTATTTTTTTCACCCGCTTATTATGATTTTGTTATATTTCCTCTCTTCTTCTCCTCCTCCATAGAAATAATTGGAAGAAATTTTCACCGAAAACCAATGTTATGTGGTTCCACTACTTGACAACAAAACTATGCTGTGATCCGCCCGAACTACTAGCCTCATCATCTGCTGCATCCACCTGCATCAAACTTCATGCCATTTGTTGTAAACAGCTAAAAGACTTAGAGTTGAGCACGCGGAAATTCAAATACAAATCCGCATTCGACTTGGTGACAACACACAAATTGTTTAAAAATTGTCGGAACTTTTTCAGTGATAAGTAACTACTCCAAACGTGGTTGTAAGTGCGTGTGTGTGCGTGTTGCCCCTTCACTTTGTGAATTGTGCTGTGTTTTTATTTATGTTTTTTTCCTTCAGTCTTTCATTCGTCTTCCTGTTTTTGTTTTCGGCGCCCTCAGATTTTCCTTTATTTTGTATTTTAGTAATATTATTATTATTATTTTCTAATGTTTTTATTTTATTGATACAGATAGAAATTGGATGTAAGTATATTTTTTCCAGAGAAAATGTCTGTTAGTTGATAAAGTTATTCAGTTGAAATACATTCGACTGTTGTGAACTGTTGCTTGTGTTATATGTATGTATATATTGGATGCATTCAATTCAAACTGTGTGTTTGAGAAGTGGCTAGTGGCGCCCAACTACACCATCAGTGTAATGATTGATTGACTGGAACTGTCATCAGATAGCTTGAAACATTGGAAAAAAAACACCACGAGTTACCGGAGTGTTTGTTTTGCTTCTTTCGGTTTTCGACTCTTCGACAAGACGAGGATCCGTGTCCCCAATCGGCGATTGGAATCAGGGTTTGTAGGTTTTGTGGGATAAGGCGGTTGACCATTTAGCCACTGAGATAAGACCTGATAGTTCGTCGTCTTATAACCTGAAAGGTTATTGATATGATCCTCGATGAGGTCCAGTTCTCTCAGATGTTTCTTTCATTTATTCTCTAACTGATCTCGATCAGTTCGTGATCTTACTTCAAATCCTTGCAAACTAACACTTGAAAGCTAGTTAGTTTTAGCTGTTATACATATGGAAAGGGCATGTATACAAGATGAAATCTAAAGTATCGTGATTGAGGATAAATCGTTAGTAGTCGCGCTAATATTGCGAATCAGTTAAAGTGTTAGAATTCATGAGTCATTGAATTAGGCCCCAGTGTCTGAATGAATGATGTAAGAGCATATCTTGTAACCCGAAGGTCAGGTTTTCAAACCCCGTGGTGTGAATATATGCTGATGATGAGTCTCCAGCTAGAAGTAAATAGGTCTCCGGTAGTCCTACTTGGTTTCCCAATGTTTCTCTAACTGATACCAGTCTGTGATCAAGCTTGATATAGGAAAATACTTGGTGATAGATACTGCAGTGATTGTCGAATGCAAGCGCGAACACTCTTCATTATAAATTCACACTGCATTCAGACAGGAATCTACACTTTTCAATATTGTCTTTCATGTTTGGTCAGTAGTCACTTTGACTCTTTAGTTCTGAATGCGCAAGCTGGTTGATTAGTGGCATTCTTAGATCAACTCATGTTGGACCCTTTGAAATTATTGTTAACTCATCTTACAACATTTGTCATATGCAATTAGTCGAAATGCATAGATTTCAATCGAAGTAACATTGTTAACTGCCTCGTTCACCGCTTGTCGTTCTGATAAGCTGCTTCTGGGGTATGATCAGATTACTGACGATAAATATTTTAGAACAACACATTTAAGCGAACAGTATTGTTTTCAATTCGATGTCATCAAGCTTAACTCTAATATATATAAGTTTACAAATAAAAATATTTTGTTAGAGATCTGGCTTCAAGGTATTCACTCCATATATGCTTTTACTGCGGTTGTTCAGCCTGTGAAATTGTCCAGTTAACACCTACTTTCTTTATGAGTAAATTGTCAGATTGTGGCCGTATATAGTGCCGTGGACGTAATATCCATCTTGATACCTCACGTAGTGATGGCTGTGGGGGGGTGTTCGTGCTCTTTTTGACAAAAGTGTGGCTCTCTATTTCCCTAGCAGTCGAATGGTTGTTGTAATTACCTTCTCCACCGCAGAACACTTTTTTTCCACAAGTTTCACAGCACTGCTTGCATACTGTATACAACTGTGTATGTTTACTTTTGAGCGTTACATGTGTCGTTATCATCACTAGCATCTGTGGAAATTGTGATGTACATCTCGGGCATTTAATGAAAACTTTGTGTCATCTCTCGATCATCTTAAAGTCCTCTAATAATAATAATAATAGTATATTCTCATTTTGTACATGAGGGACGCCAGTTTACAGGCATCATCAATATGATAAATTACATATACGATTAGCAATCATACTTAATAATAATGTTTTAATAAAATACACATTTTTTCCTACCTGTGTAGGACACACCAAATGTACAGGTATGGATAAGCATTATTGAAATTTCATAAATTTGGTTTATAGTTAAATTACATGGTTGCTGACCTTTTTGTCTTTGGTTTGTGGGAGTAATATGATAACTAGTCATTCAATGGAGCACATCATGAAATATAGGAATATTGACTTCGCATTAACAAAAAAACCCAAGTAAGTTTTGGATGGATTAAAAATACTTGGGAAAAAATAAAGCTTGAAGTAATTCCGAATCTCATTTTTGATTTATATCCAAATTGGGTAATAAGGAAGCTATTTTTACAGATACGATCAGTTATGTTATAAGTTACAATCGTGACGTTGTATTACAAATTGATACTTTTCCATTGGTATAAGAGTATATTCCACAAATGTAATCCAGGTTGCGTCGTGGGGAAAGTTAATTCGTTATTAACTAGGCAACTGAAAGATATGGGACCAATAATGTTTGCAGATCATTTGTCATTGTAAATGGTCAAACATTCACATTATTCATTCTCATTCAAAAAGTCAAATGGAAGCTGAAATGGTGAGAGAAAAAAAAAGACAAACAACAGCAACGCAAAAGAAAGCAAGAGGAGTCCTTAAGGAGTGATTAATAAATATATACATATATATTCTATCTAGTAACTATGGTTATTTTTGTTCACTAACTAACTAGTCCCGTTATGCTAACTTTTATATTATGTGTGAACTAATATTACTGTCCTGTGTAGAAATGTTAATCATCTAGTTCCAATAATATTAAAATTTATAATTGTAGTTTGTTGTAACTACACGTTTAAAGAACTTAAAATATCTATGTAGGGTGAAAAAGAAGGTGTAAGAGTCAGACGTAGAAGTGCATTGTCATCTTTGAGCAGTCTGGTGACTGAGGAGATGAACACTGGAAGTGTGTTTGCATCGCGCACATTAGCTGGTAGTCTATTCCAAATGACTGAAAACTTATTTAAGAAGAAGTTGTACCGCACGTAAGTCTGACAGTGCTCTATAGCAGCTAGGTTGTGATGATTTCTAAGATTGTAACTGATGACAGCGGTAGGTTTAGTTATTGGCTCGGAGGAATGCAAGAGAAGATTAGTTAGCTTATAGTAAAAGATAAGGTTTAGCTTAAGGCGTCTTTTCCAGAGGGGTTCTAATCTTAGTCTTTCGCATCGCTCATGGTATTCCAGACCACTTTCTAAACCAAGAGTTCTTGAGGTAAACTGCCGTTGCACTCCCTCTAATTTAAGCTTGTCATTTTGTCTGAGTCCGCTAAGAATAAACGTGCAGTATTCTAAGATAGGTCGGACACATACTTTGTATAATAAAACCCTAGTTTCACAACAAAAGAAATTGCGTGTTATGCATCCTATCAGCCTTCGTGTTTTACGTCTGGCATAATCAGTCTGTTCAGCGAACGTTAGGTTACTAGAGTATCTAATACCGAGATCTACGACTGAGTTGAGCTTAGCTAGTTTTCGCCCATTTATTTCAAGAGTTAGATCAAGGTTACTGTTGCCGATACAAATCCAGCCGCATTTGTCAATGTTAAAGTTTAGACAGGATTCAGCACACCATGTTGCGAGACTACTTAGTTCAAGATGTATTTTAGTAACCATATCGCTTAATTCATGAGTGTAGCAGGAGTAGACGACTTTGAGGTCGTCAGCATATAGGAATGGTTTACCTGAGGTGAAGCACTTGCAAATGCTGTTAATGTAGACTGTGAATAAAAGTGGACCTAGGACACTACCTTGCACAACCCCACTTGAGATCTGCCTAGGATGAGACAATACAGATCCAACTTTGGTTATTTGTACCCTGTTGCTTAGAAATGATTTTAACCAGTTCAGTAATGGGTTGCGAATTCCACAAGAGTACAGCTTCTCAAAGAGAATACTGTGAGATACCATGTCAAAAGTTATTTATGGTGTTAGTGGAGGATGCGGAAATATCTTGATCTTCAGATGAATGGTCATGATGCACGTCTGCAGCTAGGTACCGCCTCTTATATTACTGTTATTTCAGGTAAACTTTGGAATAATATTGGCAGACCAGCTATCACAAATACTTCTCAGACTGCTGTCAGCGCCTGTGGTGGTCGCCTCAAACTAATTGGTGAACTCCAATGTTCTGTTTCTTTCCGCAATACCAAATTCACAGGAATTTGTTACTTCACCCTGAGTGATTTGAATCTTTTGGGACTTGATTGGTTCGACTGGTTGCATCTGGCTGATGTCCCACTAAATTCTCTATGTAATGCAGCCAAGAAACATAAAATGTCAGACAATTCCTGACGAAGCAGAAGCCACAAACCCAACAGACAGCCGAAGCAGCAGACGTCGACAAAAAACTCAACGGTTCCAGATAAACCCCAAGAAAGCACTCTACTAATCATCAATCTTCTCAAAACGGGGGTGATGTGTAGTCTCATGATGTGTGTTCTGTTTTTGACAGTCTGATATATTTTGCTATGTGCATATGGATCGATATTCCATTATAACTGACAATATGCTTTTGTCTGTCCATTAACTAAATAAACAGTGTATGACCTTGTTATCACATGACATTACAACCAATCATGTTAAGACTGTCTATCTTTTGGTTCATGTATATTGGTCATTTTCATATATACTTTTGTATTGTACACTTTTACACACTTGTTCTCACATTTCGTACACTACGTACCCTTCCACTCTCACACTTGTGTGACAGTGATTATTTTCCTTGTTAGGAAAATACAAGTATCATCGTGAACGAGTTGGTCTTGTGATTTTCCTCTTTCCGTGTCAGGACTATTAACCACTCGACGAGTACATAACATATCTGAAATTTCAAAAGCTGAGCAGCTGTAAAGACACAACTGAGGCAACCGAATGCCAAATGGCTAAGACACTAAAATCACCAGCTGAGAGTAATCTGATTCCTAAAGATACACTCGACGAATTGAAACCCTCAGGTACGCACACACCAAGACTTTATGGTTTACCGAAAGTCCATAAGCCGGGAATACCACTACTACCCATCTTAGATATGTGCCAATCCCCTTATCATTCTACAGCAAAGTGCTTGGTAAAGGCACTAGAACCGCTACATCGCGAATTAGTGAAATTCAGTGTAAAAGACGTATTCAGCTTTGTGGAAACTGCCAAAAGCCTGAATGTAAAGGGAAAGAAAATGATGTCACTGGGTGTAGCATCATTATTCACCAACGTTCCACTTCTTGAAACAGTCAACTACATATGTGACCAGCTGATAGAAAGAAACATAGATGTAGGAATCCCATCCGAAAAAGTCAAAGAATTATTATTGAAATGCATTATGAATGTTCAGTTTATGTTCAATAATGGTTTTTATAGACAAGTTAATGGCGTAGCCATGGGATCACCTCTGGGCCCTATGCTAGCGATATTTTCCTGGCAAAGCTTGAAAATGGTCCACTCAAAGACACGATTAAAGGGCTTGACTATTATTGTCGATACGTAGATGATACCTTTTTCGTTTGTCATAGTAATGCCTACTACTACTGAGTTGAACAAAGGTTCTGTACAACTTGGACGTGATGCAGAATTAACAGCAGATGCACTGGTAGAAGGTGTGGATACTCTTGAGACCATCAGTGTAAATGATCAGCGTGTATCATCAGATGCTAGTGCTAAATCGAAGCTAATCATAAAAGAAAGCAGTGGCGGTAATCCTGCGGTTAGACAAACTTCTAAATGCCGAACAACAGCAGCTTCTGATGCACCGCTAATTTCATCAACTTGTATCGCTCATTCGTCGTTAGTGTTGTCATCCACAATGAAGGCAACGTCCATGAACTCACGTGTCTTATTCTATGACTATGCTTGTCAGTCTCGTCTCATAAACCGTTAATTCCCAGCTCTTGCTGCGCTGGGACTCATGCTGTTCCTCGAGGCTTCTCAGAAACGCTTAGTACGAACGGACGCAAAAACCAGAACACAGACTGGCGACTCGAGAATTATTTATTCTAACACCAACATATAGCCAATATTACAACTAAGGTCTATGAACAAATATTACAATTATAAATCACAATATTACTTCTAACGGTTTGTACGTGCTTTTTGAACAGCGATCGATGAGACGATGACTGGTGTATTGATGACTTCGCGAAAAATTGGGGAAGTTGGGTTTGAGCAAACAACCACGAATTGATCGTTCAATCTTCAACTACATTGACAATGCTAGTATCAGTCCGTTTGAAGAGACGAAAGCTAATGGTCAGTTTAGTGAGGATAAGCCAACTGTGTATGAGAGGGTAATTGTTAAACTGACTTAAATGAATAAAGACTTTTCAAGTTACTAATTGAATGTTATTATCTTTGGTGTAAATTACTCTATGCCTACGCTTGGTTGGTCAGATACGTCGTATGTTTGTTAGTCATCTACATTCCATGATTCAATGACATGGGCTTGTTACCATTCAAAGTTGAGGATATAGATGATAGAAGGAGGTCACCAAATGAACTCTGCGACGATTTTCCAGCCTAGGGCGTCAACCTGAGAAGGGTTGTAGGCGTACTGCTGTAAGTGCTATAATTCTTCAATGATAGTACATCGAAGCGCAGTCCATCGTGCTTGGTGTGTGATTTCGTACATATGTTCATGCTGTATATACTGAATTAGTATCATCTTTCATCTATCTTTTGGTTAATTATATTTGTGTTCGGACATTTCACCTCTTGGATCGTCAACCTGAAGGAATGTAGGCGTACTGCTGCTGCAGGCGTACTGGTGTAAATCCTGCGATTCTTCAAAGGAATTATATCAAGACGTGATCAGCGAGGTTATGTGTACTGTTTGTATATACATGTGGTGTTTCATACCAGTCGTTGTATTTTGGATTCAATGTGTTTACTTGTTGTTTTCGTACCTTGTTGTTATTGCATAATTTTGTTAAAATTTTCGTCGTGATTACTTCTGAAGTTGTTTCTGGTCTTCTACATTCGTGAATGATTTGATTGATGTTAAAGACAGCAGATGGGTCGTATACGCCGGGGAGGCTATTGCTGAGAATGACATGCATACGGAGATAATTGTTAGCTGTGGTCCCACACGCCGGGAGCGAGAGTGTAGACGACTGAGGCTTGCATACATCACCGTTACTAGAACTAAGGCAGAATGAGTGACAAGCGATTGCAGTGGTAATTGATAGTGGTAGATAAGAGGATGTGCTTGGAGTATCATGAGGTGCTGCTCTGGCCACGTTGCGTTATGCAAGAGTCATTGTATTAAGTGGCGATTGTGTTGCAAGATGTCAAGAGGATGCCCTTAACTGGAAGGCGTAGGTCGTCATCGATGAGTGTGATTGTGCTGTGGGTATGCTTGTTGCGTGTTGGGCTTTTTTGTCTTGATTTTCCGTTTTAGCCCAGTCACGTTTGGCCCAGGTCCCGCATTGCCAGTTCAGTTCGAGGTTATCACCGCTATGGAAAAATGGGTTGAACCCTTCTTTGCAGGGGACTGTCAGTGGATGTGAACATTGAGCGTTTGTTTTTGGAACTGGTAGCCATTGATGGGCAACTCGAAGGCGCGAATGGTTCGATCGTGTACAAGTTCGACGAAGATTATCAAAAACTAATAAAAGCACATATTAAATTTGTATAAATCATTTATTTACAAAATTGTACTGTTCTCTACTTTAATTGCCAAACAATATAACTTCCTTCTTACAATACTGATGTTTTGGAGTTAAAGTCGAAGAAAGTACATAGTATTTATCAGTGCGGATCGTCTTCGTAACAATAGGAACCTAGGGATAAGTTCCTTGACAGGGTTGACTTCAGGAAGCCAGTCAAACAGCCGACATTTTCTCTCGGTGAAAGCAGGAATAAAAGTGGGGGCGTGGAATATACATACAATGTACGACAATGAGAAGGCTGCCCAGGTAAGCGAAGATATGGCTTAGTAGTGCTGGGTATCTGCGGGAGCAGTCGGTACGGATGTGGATTATCAAAATTGCCAACTGGAGAGTCAGTAATCTACTCCGGCCACCCAGACGACGACCAGGAGCACATTGAGGGAGTGAGTGGCTATCATGATGTCACCAATGGCAGCCAAAAACTGAATGAAGTGGGAACCAATTTCATCCAGGATCATGGCAGGAAGATTCAACTTCAACGGAGGACTGCAATCATCCAATGATACTCACCTACAAACAATGCGGAACAAGAAAAGAAAGACGATTTTTACCGACAACTACAAACAGTAACGGACAACATCTCAAATAACGACATCGAAAGCCTCATGTGCGATATGAATGCCAGCTGTACTGCGAGTGGACAATACAGAAAAGAAACTCATCATTGGTTGAGAGGCTCTCGCTCGAATGAAGGAATGAATGAGAACAGAGAATTCTTCGCAAACTTCTGCGCCTTCAGTGTCTGCGTAATCGGAGGCAGCGTGTGCAAGCACAGGGATATACACAAAGCAACATGGATTTCGCCTGACGGACACACCACAAACCAGATAGACTTCATCTCAATGCTGCTTAAAGAAGTGGAGATGTAGCAAGTCTTCTCGACACAAAGTCGAGAAGCGGAGCAGATGTGAGCTGAGACCATCATCTAGTTCAAAGAACCTTCAAGGTGAAGATGAAATTCCTCAAAACAACTTGAGATAGGCCATTATAATTCAAGTTCAGCATTCAGAAACTGAAGGACAAAACTCAAATGGATATCTCCACCGCAGATCACTGCGAGCAAAGTCAGGGACATTACGTAGCATCACTGAGGAAACCTGCGTGAAATAACATTGGAACTCTCTGAAGGTGATGTTCATGAAAGCGTGTACAACAGTTCTAGGAAGAAGGAAGAGACAAGACAAGGAGTGGCTCTCAACGAATGCCTGGAATCTAATCCAGGAGGGGAGGATAATGAAATAGAAGATGACTCAGTGCAAAGATTGGTAACAGAAGCAGAAGCTATGTTCAGTATAAATTTTACTAAAGGAGTAAAGAAGAGTGCTAGGAAAGGCAAAAGACACTATGGGTAAATTTGGTTTTGATAAAGTCTCACAGTGTTATACAGTAATTTTTACTGATAACGTTTCGAGCACAATTTATTGCTCATAATCATATCAAGTTAATCACACGACTTCTTAAATTCATTTATATGGTTCCATTGTTTCTCACTTGATTTGATTGGTAATAGTATTTTCCATATTTCAGGTATGAGTGATGAGTCATTCCGATTGCATGTGTTGGGTGTAGACTCGATGAACCAGGATTCAGTAATCAACCTCTCTCTCCACCTACACAGATTACTTCTTAGAATTTTAACCCTCTCCCACCCTATTGTGTGGTTGTGTGTTAGCGCATGCATTGCGATTGCTGAGCTGTTTTCTAAATTACTTATCTTCTCGGAGTCAACCATTCTTACCTTAGCTAAATTTTTATGCTCTGACAATCTGACTATCCCTGACCTACTAGTTTGACCTATGTAGTTGCCCTCACAGTCAGTGCATGGTATTTTGTAAGTAATGTTATTTTGTCTAATTGGATCAACTGGGTCCTTTAACCTACATAGCTTGTCCCGCCTGAGTGAGTTTGTAGGTTTAAATGCCACCCTAATTCCTACTTTATTCAGAATCCTACGTAGTGTCTCAGATGTCCCCTATTTATATGGTATAACTGTGGATGACTTATATTCTCTCTTATTTATGTTATCATTACTGGTTTCACAATTATTTTTATTTTGTTTTTGGCCTTTACTGATCTTCCTAATGAATTTTATAGGATAGTTATTCAACACCAACGCTTCTTCTATCTGTTTTATTTCATCATTTAGGTCTTTTTTTGTGCTACTTAGTGCCACTGCTCGGTTTGTTAAACATTTAACTTAGCCTGCCTGAACAGTTAAAGGATGAGACGAATTAAAGTCTAAATATCTATTAGAATGCGTAGGTTTTCTATAAACACTAGTGTGTAGTTTGCCTTCTTCTATTCTTTTTATCTTTCAATCTAACATAGCTAATTCTCCTTGTTCATTTTCTGATTCAAATGTGAATTTTATTCCCTCAACTTGTGAGTTTATATGTGTCAAGAAGCTAGAGAGAGATATGTTCTGTTTTTAACACTGTGAAAGTGTCATCCACATATCTCCACCATATTTTTGGAGTAGGGTTAAATGTATTAAGAGCAATATTTTCCCAGCTGTCCATAAATATGTCTGCTGCGATAGGGGATATTGGTGATCCCATTGCTACACCTTCTGTTTGTCTATATATTTTGCCTTGGAACTTAAAGATAGTAGATGTGAGGCATAACTGAATCCCTAAAACAATTTCTTCAATGGACAGCTTTGTCCTATGACTGAGTTCCGGATCCGCAGTTAATTCTTTTTTAACTGCTTCTAAGGCCATATTAACTGGTATATTAGTATAAAGACTATTTATATCAAAACTAACCATTGTTTCATTATTCGCTAGTTTAATGTCGTTTAATTTACTTTTCATCTCATATGAATTAGTTAATCTAGAGTTTGAACGATTTCTAATGGGTCA